GTTCCGAACGAAGATGCCCGGCTCCATGCCGCGGCCCCGCGACGTCGCCGCGTCGGCGCCGCTGTAGTACTCGCGGGGCATGGTGCGGCGCGTCGAGGCGTTCCCCACGCTGCCCCCCCGTTTGAGGCGTTGGCCTCGATGGTGGTGTTGCGCGGGGGGGGGGCGGGGACATTATTAGCCAGGTTGCAGGGCAGCATCGATGTTCCGACGAGGTTCTCAATCGCCGGCAGCCTCTCGACGATGGCGCGGCTCTGGATGCTCATCGCCGGCGCCGCGGCCCTCGCTGACGTGCCGCTACCGACGGCGCCCCAGCTCGCGTAAGTCATGAATCGTCCTGGCACCCCTTACGCGTATGAAACATAGGTACCAGCGCATGGAGCTCGTGGCGACGGTCGGGTTCCAGATGAATTCGTTTACGGGCACGCAGTGGTGCGGCCCGGACAACTGGAACACGGGCGCCATGACGAGCCGGCCGTCGACCTTCCAGCCGGGCCCCGAGTTCGACGTGTCCCAGTGGGCCGACGTCGTCGCGAGCTTCGGCGCCAGGGGCGCGTGGATGGACACGAAGCACGTCTGCGGCTTCCTGCTCTGGCCCACGAACACGACGCTGCCCGACGGAAAGCCCTACGGCTACGACGTCGGAGCGCCGGGCGGTATCGGCGTGGACGTCGTCGGCGCGTTCAAGGACGCCTTCGAGGCCAAAGGCATCGCGCCGGGCTACTACTACTCGCTGACCTACAACTACTACGCGAACGTCGTCGCGAACCACGGCGTTGTCCGGTCGAACGCGACGTTCGAAAAGGGCATGGTCGCCCTGACGCAGGAGGAATACGACGACCTCTGCTTACGGCAACTCCGCGAGCTTTGGACGCGCTACGGCGTCGGCGGCGCTTCGGAGGTCTGGTTCGACGGCGGCGTGCCGAATCGGCCCGCGGCGGCCGCGGGGTTGAAGGCGCTCGTCGACGAGCTCATCCCCGACGTGCCGGCCTTCGGGGGCCTCGGCGTGTCGCCCAACGCGGTCAAGTGGGTCGGCGACGAGTCGGGGCTGCCCTCGAAGGGCATCTGGTCCACGGGGGCCACGAACCAGGGGCTGCCCGACGACCCCCAGTTCGTGCCGACGGGCTGCGACACCATCCTCATGACGCCGCACACCTGGTTCTGGGTCCCGGGCATGGGCGTGCGGTCGCTGGCGGAGATGATCGCCGTGTACCACGCCACGGTCGGCAACAACTGCGTGCTCGAGCTCGGCTTCGCCACGGACAAGAACGGCACGATCCCCGCGGACCAGGTCGCGCGCGCGGCGGAGTTCGGCGACTGGATCCAAAGCTGCTACGACGCGCCCGTCAACGCCACCGCGGCTCCCAACGCGACGACGGTTTCGCTGAAGATCCCCGCGGGGCGCGCCGTCGACCGCGTCGTCGTCCAGGAGGACCTGGCCAAGGGCCAGCGCGTGCGGAGCTACGTCGTCGACGCCACGGCGGACGGCGGCAAGACCTGGGCCCAGGTCTCCAACGGCACCGCCGTCGGCCACAAGCGCATCGACGTGTTCGCCGCGCCGCTGCAGGGCGCCGCGGTCGAGCTCCGGTTGACCATCACGAAGGCCGTCGGCGACGTCGACGTCGTCCAATTCGCCGCGTTCGCGCCGTGCGCGGCGGCGTAATTGGAGCTTGCTCGATTTTCGCAGTTCAACTTGGGACGCGTGCGGTGGTTGCAGCACGGTTTCATCGTTGGCTCCTCGGCGCCACCGCTGTTGGCATCGATCCGTGACGCGCTGGCGGCGCTGGCGCTCCTCTATCTCATCCGTGGGGCGCGAGGCTTCACTCATACGCGCAGCATGGCCGCATTGATCCCCGGGAAGAGCCGCCTGCGCAAGGCGACGTTCGCCGTGTCGTCCGACGACGACGACGACTTCGACGCCCTCTTCGGCAACCTCGCCATCGATGCTCCGGCGCGGTCGCCCGTCGCCCGGCGGCCGACGCGCGGCACGACAGCGGCGCCGGCGCGGACGCCCGCCTCCGCGCGCAAGGGCGGCCTCGACGGCGACGCGTGGTCGCGCGTCGAGGCGCTCGCGGACGGCGCGTCCCCGGGCGTCGCGTCCGACGACGGCGACGGCGACTCCTGGCTCGCGTCCGAGGACGACGACGAGCCCGAGGCGGAGGACGACGACGACGAGTCCTTCGTCGCGTCCGAGGCCGCGTCCGACGACGACTCGGTGCTGGACCTGACGGCGTCGCCGCCGCCCAAGGCCGAGTCGACGCCCCCGAAGCCGGAGTCGAAGGTGCTCGTGGACCTGACGAACGGGACGCCGTCGCCGCGGTCGACGACCAAGAAGAAGAAGCAAAAGCAGCCGCGCGCGCCGTCGACGCCCGAGGGCCCGCCGGACCTGTCCGCGGCGACGCCGCGCGCGGTGGCCAGGTCCTTCGCGCGGCGGCGCGGCCTGCTCCTCCAGTCGACCTTCGACGCCTACGACGCGGCCGTCGTCGGCGGCCGCCTCGCGGGGTCCGTCGAGTGCGTCTGGAGCAAGCGGCTGCGGACGACGTCGGGCCTGACGCGCATGAGCCAGAAGCGAGACCGCAAGGACGCGCCCTGGGTCAAGAAGGCGGTCATCGAGATGTCGACGCACGTCTGCGACAGCGAGGAGAAGATGAAGAACACGCTCGCCCACGAGCTCTGCCACGCGGCGGCGTGGGTCGTCGACGGCGTGAGCAAACCGCCGCACGGCGCGCCGTTCAAGCCAGGGCAGCAAAAGGGTGATTCAACGTCGCTTCAACGTGAGTGTTCCGCGCGCGCGCGTTCTGGAAAAAGCATCCACGCTTCGAGACCGTTCCGAGAGATGATCGCTCGTCCAAAAATCAGCCGAAACGAGTGGAAACCGGCCGACCTAGGAGCCTTTGAAGTTGGGAATTTCGCACTCTTGTCCTGCCCAGGTTCAAGCGCTGGGCCGCCCGCTTCATGGACGCCTTCGACGACCTCCGCATCACGACGCGCCACAGCTACGCCATCAACTACAAGTTCAACTGGCGCTGCAGCGACCGCGCGGCCTGCGACTTCACGATCGGCCGCCACTCGAACTCCCTCGACGTCAAGAAGTACGTCTGCGGCAAGTGCGCCGCGAAGCTGGAGCCGTACGAGCCGTCGAACTAAGGAGATGAGCGGGGGGAGCGGGTTATGGACGGGCGGCCCCTCGCGCGATCGCTCGCGGGAAAGGGGCGCGCCGGGCCGCGGAAGCGGTTCGCGGCCGGGGGCGATGGTGAGGGGGGGAGCGGCGCGCGCGCCTAGTCGTTGCTCATGGGCGCGGCGCCGTTCTCGGCGGCGTTCTCGTCGTCGAGGACCGTCCGCGTCTTCTTGAAGGACGGCTCCGTGGGCAGCTTGGCCGGCGACGCGAGCGCGCGCTCGAGGAGGCCGTCGAGGCTGCCGCGGCGGCCGCCGCCGGAGGGCGGCGGCGGCGGCGCGACGAAGTCGTCGGCGCGGCGCGCCGACGAGCCGAAGGCCGCCTCGGGCAGGGGCATGGTGTCGCCGGCCGTCGGCGCGCCGCGGCGCTTGAGCGCCGACGACGGCGTCGCGAACGCGCGCGCCTCCGTAGCGCCGGGCCGCGTGGGCGTCGTGCGCCGCGGCGGCGGCGGCGGGAAGTCGTGCTCCAGGGGCGGCGCGTCGGGCACGGCGGCGTCATTAGTCATGGACGGCAGGAGCGAGTGGAACGCGTCGTCGGTGCAGAGCGGCGAGAGCCCCGACGCGGACCGGTCGCCGCTCCCGTGGACCGAGAGCCGGTCCTGGACGGGCGTGTCGAAGGGCCGGCTCTTTCGCCGCGCCGAGCTCGGCGCGGAACCGACGGACGGGCGCCGCGCGTCGTCGAGGGCGCTTTCGAGGTCCCGGTGGCTCCGGCTCCGCGACGGCGGCGGCGGGCTCCACGCGAGGTCGGACCCCAGGTCCTCGAGCCCGCCGGCGAAGGGCGACCTGTCCGGCGGGCTCGACGCCGGCGCGCCGCGCGGGCCGTGGGGGAAGGGGCTCGACATGGACACGAGGCTCCGCGCGGCCTCGCTGCCGGCCGGGCTCGCGTCGTCGAACGCGGCCTCGCCGAAGAACGCGCGCGGGCCCTCGAAGGCGCCGGAGACGCGGCCCAGCTGGACGTCGGCCATGGTCAGGCTCAGGCCCGTCGAGTGGCGCGGCCGCCGGCTCCGCGGCCGCCGGCCGCGCGCCATGAGCGGGTCCACCCCCAAGCCCGACGCCTCGACCGTCGCGCCGAGGATCGCGTCGCCGTCGCAGCCGCCGAGCGACGAGCTCTCGGAGCCGTAGGAGCTCCGCCGGCTCGCGTCGCCGCTGCCGGGCAGGAAGTCGAGGCCCACGGCGCTCTCGAGCTGCGTCGGGCTCAGCATGACGCTGTCCGCGCCGTAGTCGCCGAAGCCCGGGCTCAGCGCCTGGGCCGCGTCGCCGGGCCGCGGGCTCCCGACGGGCGCCGCCGACGCGAGGCTCTCGCGCGCCGCCGTCTTCGACTTGCGGCTCCGCGGCGCGCGCGGCCGCGCGGGCGCCGCGTCCGCCGCCGACGACACGCGCGACGACGGCGCGAACGCCGCGTCGTCGCCGTCCCCGTCGCCGGCCGCGCCCGTCTTGCGCTTGCCCGACGGCCGCGGCGGCGCGGGCGCGCCGGGCGCGCGCTTCGCGTACGCGCGCTTCTTCGGCGCCTGGCAGACGGCCTTGATCGCGTCGTCCAGATTGCCGCCGACGAGGCGGAACCGCGGCACGATGCCGCCGTCCTCGGAGAAGGGGCGGATGAGGGCCGCGCCCGCGGGCTTGAGGTCGCCCTTCTTGCTGTGGTCGCCGCCGCGCATGTCCTTGTACTTGGCCGGCGCGACGAGGAACGCGTCGTCCGCGATCGGGCCCTCGACCGTCGGCTCCCGGAGCGGCACGCCCGCGGCGTCGAGCGCGGCCTTGGCCTCCCTCGCCGCGGCCAGGGCCTTGTCGTCGTCGACGACGAGCTTCTCCAGCGAGTCCTCGAGGAAGCGCTCGTACTTGCGCTTGATCGACGAGTTCCAGTGGTTCTTGATCGCGTTGTCCGTGCGGCCCGGCAGCAGCTTCGCGATCTCCGCCCAGCGGTTGCCGAGCTTCGCGTGGCTGCTCAGGATCTTCCGGTCCTCCTCCTCGGTCCACGCCGCCTTGCTGATCTCCGGGTTCAGGTGGTTGTGCCACCGCTCGCGGCACTGCTTCGAGATGCGGCCCGGCAGCTGCTGCGCGATCTGCGACCACTTGCGCGCGCCGTGCTGCTTCACGAGCTCGATGACCTTTTGCTGCGCGGGGAGACGAGTGTGGGTGGTGCGCGTGCGAGGGGCGCCGGGGGACGCGCGTCCTCCTCCTCCGTCCACGGGCCTTTCGTGCGGGGCCCGTCGCCGTCGCCGGACGCGGCCTTCTCCGTCACCTCGCGCTTGCGCCGCTCCTGTGGCACGACGGGGGTTTCGGTGGTCGTGCGCTGGTGCGACGGCGGCGCGAGGGCGCGCGTTCCGCGGGGCTCGATTCTCTCGCGGCGTCCGGTGTTCCGTCTGACGTTCTGAGCCGCGGCGGCGAATCTGGACGCCGCGTTCGCGCCGCCGAGGTACTGCTCGTCGCCTGCTGCGTCTGCTGCGCCGCCCGCGGGCTCGACACGTCCATGGGCTGCGCCGGCGGGGCCAACGGCGGGTTTGGACGATTCAGCTCCATTACGTCGGTTAGGGCTGATTTTCAAAGGACCCCCGGTCACGCTTGAACGCCACACCGGCCCACACGCGACGCGCTGCGGTTCGCACGTCGGCGACCCCAACATCATCGATCAAAACCGGCCACAGACGCGCGACGATACCGCCGCAGCGCCCGACGATTCCGTGGACACGATCTACTGCGGCGTAGCCGCGGCGCGGCGACGTCGCGGCCCTACGCGCGCGCCGAGCGAAACTGGAACCTGCGAGTGTGCGGATTTTGCCGGCTGCGTTCGCACGCGCGGCGCCCGCAACCCACCAAGCCTCAGACCGACTGACGCCGCGCGCGTTACGCGCGCGGTAACTTAGCGGCAGCACGTGCGCATTGAGGTGGAAGCTGCTCGCCAGCGACACACATTTGGCGCCACCGCCGTCGTCGTCGTCGGCCTGCAAGCGCTGCAACAGCGCGCGCCGCAGCACTCGTGAAGAGCACCGCAGCAAACACCATGGCCGCCGCGGCGCCGAGGAAACCAACGTCCACGGACGACGTGCCGCTGAACGTCAAGTTCGCCACGGCGGGCTTGGGCGGCATCATGGGCTGGATGTGCGTGCACCCCTTCAACACGGCGGCCGTGCGCATGAACCTGGCGTCGACGCAGCCGAACTACCAGCCGACGGGCTTCGTGGCCTTCTTCCTGAAGACGGGCAAGGAGCGCGGCTACGCGTCTTTCTACGACGGCATCGGCGCGGGCGTCATCCGCCAGATCTTCTACGCGACGAGCCGCTTCGGCCTCTTCGAGACGTTCCGCGACGCCATCGCCGCGCGGCGCGAGATCGGCGTCGCCGAGCGCCTGGCCGCGGGGCTGGCGTCCGGCGCGTGCGCGGCGGTGATCTCGTGCCCGGCGGAGGTGAGCCTCGTCCGCCTGTCGAACGACGCGACGCTGCCGGAGGCGGAGCGGCGCAACTACAAGTCGCCGTTGGACGCCGCGGCGCGCATCGCCCGCGAGGAGGGCGTCGGCGCCTTCTGGCGCGGCTGCTCCCCCTTCGTGCAGCGCGCGATGCTCGTGGGGGTCACGCAGGTCGGCACGCTCGACCAGGCCAAGGCGTTCTACGACGACTCCTTCGGCATCCCCAAGGGCACCTACGGCAACGTCTTCGCCGCGTCCATGACGTCCGGCCTGCTCTACTCGCTCATCACCATGCCCTTCGAATCCGCGAAGAATCGCATGGCCTTCCAGAAGCCCGACGCGAACGGCGTGCTGCCCTTCCGGTCCACGGCGCAGACGATCCTGTCCGTGGCCAACGCCCAGGGGCCCCTCGCGCTCTGGAACGGCTTCCCGCCCTACTACCTCCGCTGCGGCGGCCACACGGTCACCATGTTCATCTTCGTCGAGATGCTCCGCTCCGCGTACCAGTCGTCCAAGTAGGGACCGTAAGGCGAGGCGAGCTCCGCTCATGCGCGAGGGGGAGGCGCGCCCCGCTGCGCGACCGCGCGCGTACGTCGCCTCCTCTCTGCGCGGCGCGATCGCGAAATTTATGACAGAACCCGGATCAATGTATGGTCTCGACCTCGGGCTCCTTGAAGCGCTGCTTCGTCGGGGACTCGGCCCGGTGGCCGCCCATGAAGGCGTGCTCCTCCTCCTCGTCCTTGATCCACATGTGCTTGAAGTCGCCGAACGTCATCTGGCCGTCGTGGTCCGTGTCCGCGCAGGAGAGCATGTTCTTCATCTGCGCGGGCGTGATGTCCATGCCGAGCTGGTGGATCGCCTGCTCGATCTCGTCGAGGCCGAAGGTGCCCGTCTTGCCCTTGTCGAAGTACTGGAACGCGGCCATGAGCTCGTCCTCCGTGTTGCCCTCGGGCGGCATGAACCGCGACATCAGGACTAAAAATTCGTCGAAGCAGATGCACCCCGACTTGTCGTTGTCCACGGACGCGAAGATGAGGTCCAGGTTCTCGTGCGTGATCTCCTGGCCCAGGCTCCGCATGACCGTGCCCAGCTCCTCCTTGTTCATCGTCCCGTTTCCGTCCTGGTCGAACATCTTAAAAGCCTCCGCGAGCTCCGCGAGCTCGTCCTCGGGGATCTCCCGGGGCTGCGCGTCCTCGCGGTAGACGATGTTGTGCAGCTGCGAATTCTTCTTCTTGCCCGCGTAGTTGGGCGTCGCCGGCCGGCTGCTGCCGCCCTCCGTCGTCGACGGCGTGATGGGCCGCCCGTCGCTGTTCGCCGTGCCGGGGCGGCTCATGTTTCTCGTGGAGCGGCGCGACGACGCGTCGTCACGTGCGTCGGAGCTGGGGCTGCGCGGCGCGGCCGCGCGCGCTGCCGATGATGCCCAACAGCGCTGGACGCAGCCCCGTCGGCGGCAACGTCGGCCTCTCGACTGCGAATGCTTCTGCACACGAGAAGCGCTCTCTTTGCCGCCGCCGAGAAGCCGAGTCGGGGCAAGACCACAGAGCCGCATCCATGGCCGCACCGAGCCCCGAGGCGCCCGTCGTCGCATCCATGGCCGCGCCGAGCCCCGAGGCGCCCGTCGTCGCGGACGCCGCGGCGCGCGACGGCGCGCGCGCGGCCGTGGACCGGCTCGTCGGGGCCGTCGAGGCGCGGAGCCTCGCGACAACGACCGTGCGCACGTTCCCCAACTGGGACGTCGGCCACCACTGGACCGAGGATCCGCGCGTCATGCCCACCTACGAGGCGCGCTCCGAGGCGCAGGCGCTGCTGCGGCGCGAATCGTACGGCAAGTACAAGAGCGTCGAGATCGAGCAGGCGTACCTCGGGCTGTACCTCGGGCTGTGGCCGAGCGACGGCAGCCGGTACGTCTCGTTCCTCTCGCGGATGCTCGCCGTGCCTGGCGCGCGGAAGTCGCTGCTGGCGACGAGGCCCCCGCGGCCGCGCGCGGCGCCGCGCGCGGCGCCGCCGCGCCGCGACTCGCCGCCGACGCCCCGGCGCCGCGACTCGCGCGGGGCGGGGCGGCGGCTGCGCGCGACGACGCCCGAGCGGCCGCCGGCGCCGCCCAAGGAGCGGCACCTGCGCGCGCTGTCGACGTACGCGTCGTTCGGCGCCGTGGACGCGCACGCGGGCCGCCGCGCGGCGCGGCGGTCGCAGCGCGCGCGCGGCGCCGACGCCGCGGTGTGGGCGCCGTGCGGGGCGACGCTCACCCGCGGCTGCTACGTCGCCCGCGGCGCCGCCGTGTGCATCAGCACCGGCGAGGGCTCCGCGGGGACGTCCGTCGTCGTCGACGGCCGCTACGCGTACTCCGTCGCGGCGGCCGGCGCCGCGCGGCCGCTCCTCGACGTGCTCGCCGCCGGGTACAAGGACCGCGAGATCGTCGACAGTTACGTCGCGAGCATCCGCGGCGACAGCCAGCTCCAGGCGCTCGTCGTCGCGCTCCGCGAGGGCCGGAAGCCCGAGCCGGTCGCCGTGGCTTTGCTGTCCGCGAGCTGCAAGCACGGCCGGCCGGGCTGCGCCTGCGGGCACCTGGGCCTTTGGGCCATCGTGACGCCGCCGGCGCTGCGGGGCCGGGGCCACGCGCGACGCCTCGGCGCCGCGATCCGCGCGCACGCGGCCCATCACGACAACAACTTCGTCCACGCGTACCCGCAGAGCAAGGACATGTTCGCGCTCTTCCACCGGTTCGGCTTCACGCACCGGGGCCCGAGCCAGCTGAACTCGGTCCCGCAGCCGGCCCGCGGCCTCAACCTCCTCGTCGCCGACGCGTCGAGCCCCTACGCGGACTCCGAGTCCGAGTCCTCCGAGTCCGAGTCCTCCGAGTCCTCCGACTCCGACTCCGACTCGCTCTCCGCGACCTCGCTCACGCGGTCCGACGACAACCGCCCGGCGAAGCGCGCGCGCTCGGACCCGCGGCTGCGGGCGCTCTAGTCGCTCGTAAAGGAATCCAACCTCGGCGGGTGCGGGAGGGCAGAGATCGCGGCGTCGCAGCCGCGCCCGCGCCAGCGGAGCTTGACCCGCGCGTCGGAGCCGGGGGCGATCTTCTCCGGCACGCGGAGCGAGATGCCGCCCGGCGCGTCGACGGCGACGTCGCCGGCGTCGCCCCAGGCCCCCGGCGGCGGCGCTTCGCCGTAGAGATCGTCGTCGACCTCGGGAAAGGCGCCGCGCGCGGCCTCGCGGGAGACCACGATCCGCGCGAGGCCGAGGGCCTCCGGCGCCCGGCGCGACTCGCCCCACCGCGGCGCGTAGCTGCAGATCGCGGCGACGCGCCGGTCGCCGTCGGCCAGTGCGACCTCGACGGACGCGCCGCCGGACCGGAGCGCCGCGGGCCCGACGACGCATCCCCGGCCGTCGGCGACGAAGCGCCCGAGCGAGCCCTCGGAGTAGCTGCCGAGCGCGATGTCGCGGAACTCCATCGTCGACGCGCAGCGGTCGCAGCCGCTGCTCGCGACCTCCGTCGTCGGCACGCGCATCGCGTGGTCGCAAGAGTCGCCGTCTCGTTTTAAGGAGACGATCGCGAGAGACTCGTCGCCGCCGACGAGCGCGCCGCTCGCGTCGTAGGTCGTCCGCGCGCAGTGCCACTCGCCCTTGGCCTGGTGCGTCGTGAAGTCGATCCATTGCTGCGCGTCGCTGGCGGAGACCGTGGCGGAGCGAGAGCGAGCGCCGGTGCTGCGCGCGATGCGGCTGCGAGCGATGCTGCTGTGGTGAGGCACCCATGCCGCGGCGATGCAGGCGAGGGCCGCCAGCAAGCAAGCGCGATCCATGCTCGCTCGCTCAAACATTGCCACAGCCAGGCCAAGCTGCCGCTCCAAGCGCAGCCGCGCCGCGCGCATCGTTCGTCGTCGCGCGCGCACACACAGACGCACACGCAGACGCACACAGACACACACACGGCGGGAACAAATGGACGGCCTCACCGTCGGCGAGGCGCTCAAGGAGGAGTACTGCTGCCACTTCACGGGCGCCGCCGTCGGCCCGCCCGGGCGCACGGACGGCTGGGTCGCGGCCTACGTGCACCGGCGCAAGGGCTGGGGCGACGACCTCGTGCTCCGCTGCGACGACGACCTCTTCGGGCGACCGGCGGTGCGCGGCGTCGTGCTCGCGAAGCGCAAGCTCGGCTGCGGGGCGGTGTTCCGTCCGGACGCCGCGGAGTGGGCGACGGTCGCCGACGACGCGCTGGTCGTCGGATCCACGGCGACGGGCAAGCTGCGGACGCTGCGCGCGGCCCGGGCCGGCGAGGCGTTCCGGGGCGCGCCGCGGTGGCACTCGACCGCGGACGGCTGGGCGTTGCTCGCGGTCGTTAAAGGCGCGGACGGCCTGGAAAGGCTCACGGAGATCGACGCCGCGGCGGAGAAGAAGGACGCGGAGATCTTCGTCGCGTCCAAGGGCGGCTCCATCGGCTCCTTCGCGTCCTTCTTCGGCGAGTACGCGGTGACGCACCGTTTGGCGAACGCGATGATCGCCGAGGTCGTCTTGGTCCAGGGCGCGTCGACGCGGCTCTTGGCCATCGACCTCCGCGTCGAGTACGCGGCGCCGGCGCTCGCCTACCTGCGCAGCGGCCACCTCGTGGCGCGCTTCGGGGGCTTCGCGTGCCTCGTGCAGACGCTGGACTGGGACACGTTCGCGGCGGATCCGCGGAAATTCGCGGGCGAGCACCTCGCGTGCCTCGAGCGCGACGCGATCTTGCACGGCGTCTTCGCGCTCGCGCCGGGCCACGACCAGTGGGTCCGCGTCAAGGCGTCCGACGACGGCGACCGCTGGGACTTCGCCGCGCGGACCTACGGCCCGGCCGTCGCTCCCAGAGACTTGGTGCTCGCGCGCGACGAGGACGCGGTGCTGCTGACGGCGCGGCGCGTCGGCGTCGACCGGTCCATCGCCGAGTCGACGCACGTCGTCGCCTACGCGGACGGCCGCTTCTCCTTCGACGCCGTGGAGATCCGCGACGAGTTTGGAAGCGAGGTGCCGCTCGCGCTCGCGGGCGGCGAGGTGCTCTTCCTCGGGCGGTCGCCGGCGGAGTGGGGCGACCTCTACCTGGAGACGGACACGAAGACGAAGCGGCTGACCTGGACCATGCCGCTGTCGCTGAAGGAGCACGTGCGCCCGCCGAAGGAGCTCTACGTCGGCGACGTCCACTGTTTAGTGTATTGGCCCGCGAAGCCGTCGGACGCGCCCGTGCAGGCCGTCGTCTGGGCCCACGGCGGCCCCTTCTGCGCCCACGCGCTCGAGTACTTCCCGCTCTTCCACTGGCTCGCGAACCTGGGCTTCGTCGTGCTCGTGCCCCACTTTGAGGGGTCGACGTCGTTCGGGCTGGACCACATGGACGCGGTCCGCGGCGACGGCTGCGGCGTCGCGGACCTCGAGGGCGCGCTCGCCGCGGGGCGCCACGCGCGCGACGGCCATTTACGGTGCGACGGCTACCGCGTCGACGTCGAGCGGGGCGTCGCCATCGCCGGCCACTCCTGGGGCGGCTACCTGGCGCTGCTCGCGGCGACGCGGCCGCGCGACTCGCCGTTCTCGTGCGCCGTCGCGTCCGCGGGCATCGCGGACTGGGCCGCGCAGCAGAAGGGCACGGACGTGCGCTACTACGACCGCTGGCTCATGGACGGCTGGGTCTACGAGCCCGCCGTCGCCAAGCGCGCGGCGCGCGCGAGCCCGGACCCGAAGGCGCTCGCGCTGCCGCTGCTGCTCGTGCACGGCGCGGGCGACACGGACGTGCCCTTCGCGCAGGCGAAGCGCTTCGCGGACCGCGCGGCGGCGGCCGGCGCGGACGTCGAGACCCTCTTCCTCGAGGGCGAGCCCCACGGCATGGGCTCCTGGTCCAAGGACTCCCAGGCGAAGATGATGGACGCGACGCGGAAGTTCCTCACGTGCCACCTCAAGCCCTGGGACTTCACCTCGAACCCCCACGGCGACGTGACGGCGTATTAAGCCTAGTAGCCGTACGGCGTGCGCCAGTATTCGAGGACGCGCAAGAAGACGTCGTCCGGCGTCTCCAGGAAGAGGCGCGCGTGCGCGGGCACGGTCGGCGCGCTGCGGCGCGCCGCGGGCAGCTCCCGGCGGAGCGCGACGAGCGCGTCGATGTAGGGCTTCCGCTGCGCGGCGACGTGGGGGCGCCAGCCGCCCGCCGCGCGGACGGCGGCGAGGAAGTCGGCCGTGGTTGTATTTGCCCCCAAGTATCGCGCACGGGCCTCGGGGTCTCTGCCGCTTTTGGTGCGTGCGTCGAGCGACGCGCCGCGGCTCAGTAAGAGCTTGCACATAGTAACATCACCAGCGCCAAAATGGCCGACAGCGAAGTGGAGCGCAGTGCGCCCATCATGGTCGACAGAGTCGATTTGCGCGCCCGCGTCGAGAAGGACGAGTGCCGCGCGGTGACAGCCGTGGATAGCGGCCATCTGCAGCGCCGTGCACGGGGTGGGCGGGCGGCTACAAAGTTCGACGCTCGCGCCTTTCTTGAGGAGCCAGTCAATGGCTGCGCACCAATCGTTCTGCACTGCGTAAAACATGGGCATATGACCGTGTGTATGGTTCATGACCCAAACGCCGCCATCAGCTGACTTAATGAGAGCACTGGTTGGGATGTTGCGGACCTCCATTTCGGCGATGAACATGTTCTCCCTCGAGAGGCCACTCGCGGCGGCCATGCTCGACCCGGCAGGGGGGCTGCTCCATCACACGTTGAATATTCAACCTAAATTTACCGCAGCGATCGCGACATGATGAGAGCTGCACTCAGGCTTCGCACCGCACCGCGGCAAACAATCCGCTGCTGGACGGCAGGCCACGTTTCCCCGTGGCGCGCCATACCAGCAAGTATAGAGCGGCCGAGCTATTCGAGCACGGGCCTCGTCCTGCCCGCCCCGCCGGCGGCGACCGTCGCCGACGCCGAGACCATCGATGCGCTGCGCGCCGCGGGCCGCCTCGCGCGGCGCATGCTCGACTTCGCCTGCTCGCTCGCGGCGCCCGGCGTGTCGACGGACGCCATCGACGCCGAGGTGCACGAGGCCATCGTCGCCGCCGGCGCGTACCCCGCGCCGTACAACTACATGGGCTTCCCCAAGTCCATCTGCGCGGCGCCCAACGAGGTCATCTGCCACGGCATCCCCGACTCGCGCATCCTAGAGGAGGGCGACATCGTGTCCTTCGACGTGTCCATCTACGCGGGCGGCGTCTTCGGCGACAACTGCGGCACCGTCGCCGTCGGGGCCGCCGACGACGCGGCGAACGCGCTCGTCGCGACGACGCAGCGGGCCCTGGACGACGCCCTCGCCACCGTGAAACCGGGCGCCTGCCTCACGGCCATCGGCGACGCCTGCGCCGACGCCGCCGCGACGCGGGACTACGGCGTCGTCCGCCAGTACTGCGGCCACGGCATCGGCCGCGTCTTCCACGCGCCGCCGCTCGTCCAGCACTGCCGGAACCGCGACGCGTTCACGCTCGTGCCGGGCCACGTCTTCACCATCGAGCCCATGCTCACGGAGCGGTCGCCGGAGCTCTACGTCGCCGACGACGGCTGGACCGTCGTCACGCGGGACGCAGGGCAGCAAAAGGGTGCGAAATTCCCAACTTCAAAGGCTCCTATCTCGGCCGTTTTCCACTCGTTTCGGCTGATTTTTGGACGAGCGATCATCTCTCGGAACGGTCTCGAAGCGTGGATGCTTTTCTCGGAACGCGCGCGCGCGGAACACTCACGTTGAAGCGACGTTGAATCACCCTTTTGCTGCCCAGGCGGGACGGCGGTCGCGCGGCGCAGTTCGAGCACACGGTCCTCGTCACGGACGACGGCCACGAGGTGTTGACCCTGCCCGAATAACGTGCAGCCTAGGCGGACTCGGCGCGGGGCGCGCGGCGCTTGAGGACCGCCGCCTCGACGGCGTCGAGCACGTCCATGGCCGCGACCGGTAAGGGCGTGCCCGGCCCGAAGATCGCGGCGACGCCGTGGCGTTTGAGGTGGTCGTGGTCGCAGTCCGGCACGACGCCGCCGACGACGACGACGACGTGGCCCGCGCCCTTGGCCCGCAAAGCCTCGACGACGCGGGGCACGAGCGTGTTGTGGCCCGCGGCCATCGTCGAGACGCCGACGGCGTGGACGTCCGCGTCGACGGCTTGATTCGCGACCTCCTCCGGCAGGTTGAAGAGCGGGCCGGCGTCGACGTCGAAGCCCAGGTCGGCGAAGCCCGCCGCGACGACGTTGGCGCCGCGGTCGTGGCCGTCCATGCCCACCTTCGCGACCAGGATCCGCGGCCGCCGCCCGTCCAGCGCCTCGAAGGCCTCGACGCGCCGCGCCTGGGCAGGACAAGAGAGATTCAACGTCGCTTCAACGTGAGTGTTCCGCGCGCGCGCGTTCCGGAAAAAGCATCCACGCTTCGAGACCGTTCCGAGAGATGATCGCTCGTCCAAAAACCAGCCGAAACGAGTGGAAAACGGCCGAGATATGAGGCTTTGAAGTTGGGAATTTCGCTCTCTTTTGCTGCCCCGCGCCGCGCGGCCGCGGAGAACGCCTCGCCGGCCTCGGAGCCGAAGCGCCGCGCCTCGCCGACGTAGGACCCGACGGCCAAACCCCCGGACGCGACGTGCTCGCCCCAGGCGCTGCGGAGCGCGTCCGAGATCTCGCCGAGCGTCGCCCGCGCGCGCGCGGCGTCGACGCACAGCGCGACGAGATTCCGCGGGTCGTCGTGCGCCGCCGTCGACACGTCCTCGAGCAGCGCCGACGCGTGGAGCCTCTCCAGGCAGCGCTTCACGGCGTCGTCGTCCCGGGACGCCTTCATCGCCGCGATGCGCGCGGCCTGGACGCGCCGCGCCTTCTGGTCGTCGATGCGGAGCACGTCCACGGCCTCGCCCGGCTCGCCGCTCACGTGCTTGTTCACGCCCACGACGACGTCGACGCCCGCGTCGACGCGCGCCTGCTTCTTCGCCGCCGAGTCCTCGACGCGGCGCTTCGCCTCGCCGGACTCGACCATCGCGCGCATGCCCCCCGCCGCGTCGACGTCCGCGATGATCTCGCGCGCCTTGTCCGCGAGCTGGGACGTCAGGGCCTCCATGAAGTAGGACCCGCCCCAGGGGTCGGCGACGCGCGTCACGCCCGTCTCCTCCTGGATCATGAGCTGCGTCGCGCGCGCGACGCGCGCCGAGTGCTCCGTGGGCAGCGCGATGGCCTCGTCGAACGCGTTCGTGTGCAGCGACTGGGCGCCGCCGTGGACGGCGGCGAGCGCCTCCAGGGCCGTGCGCGCGACGTTGTTGAGGGGCTCCTGGGCCGTCAGCGAGTAGCCCGACGTCTGGCAGTGCGTCCGCAGCAGCAGCGACCGCTCCGACGTCACGTGGGCGCCCCAGAAGCGCTCCTTCACCAACTCGGCCCACAACGTGCGCGCGGCCCGCAGCTTGGCGATCTCGACGTGGTGGTCCATGCCGATGGCGAAGAAGAAGGACAGGCGCTGCGCGACCTTGTCGACGTCGATGCCCGCCTCGACGGCGCAGTTCAAGTACTCCAACCCGTCCGCGATCGTGAAGGCGAGCTCCAGCGCCGCGTCGGCGCCGGCCTCCTGCATGTGGTAGCCCGACACGGAGATGGAGTTGAAGCGCGGCATGCGGCCCGCCGTGAAGCCGAAGATGTCCTGGATCGCGCGCAGCGACGGCGCCTGGGCAGCAAACGGGTGCGAAATTCCCAACTTCAAAGGCTCCTCTCTCGGCCGTTTTCCGCTCGTTTCGGCTGATTTTTGGACGAGCGATCATCTCTCGGAGCGCTCTCGAAGCGTGGGCGCTGTCTCCGAAACGCGCGCGCGCGGAACACTCACGTTGAAGCGACGTTGAATCACCCTTTTGCTGCCCTGGACGGCGCCGGCGGGTAGATGTACGTGTTCCGGACCATGAACTCCTTGAGGATGTCGTTCTGGATCGTGCCGGAGAGCTCCTCCGGCGCCACGCCGGCCTCCTCGGCGGCGACGACGTACATGGCCAGCGTCGGCAGCACGGCGCCGTTCATCGTCATCGACACGGACATCTTGCCGAGGTCGATGCCGTCGAACAGGATCTTCACGTCCTCGACGGAGTCGACGGGCACGCCGGCGAGGCCGACGTCGCCCGCCGCGCGCTCGTGGTCGCTGTCGTAGCCCCGGTGCGTCGGCAGGTCGAAGGCCACGGACAGGCCCTGCTGGCCGGCGGCGACGTTCCGGCGGTAGAACGCGTTCGACTCCTCCGCGCTCGAGAAGCCCGCGTACTGGCGGATGGTCCAGGGCTTGGCGCTGTACATGGTCGCGTAGGCGCCGCGCGTGAAGGGGAAGACGCCGGGCGGCGGCGGGCTCGACCCCTCGGGGCCGAGGTAGCAGGGCTCGATGCGCAGGCCCTCGGGCGTCTCCGACGCCAGCGACTCGACGGTCCTCCCGGACCGCGCGGCCTCCTTGGCCGCGAGGGCGCGCCAGGCGTCCGCCGCCGTCGTCGAGAGGCGCCGGGGCCGCGCGCGGGCGAGCATGGATGCGGCCTTCTTGCCCCCGCCCATTACGCTTGTGGCAATTCTGCGAGCTCGCAATCGGCTCATCGCTTCGACCAGCCGATCCGCTCGCGCCAGCCACAACAGCGTCGGCTGCAACAGTCCGTCGGCCGGCAGAGGCGCCGCGTCATCCCCAGGCAGCGCGCGAACGAATTCGAGCAGCGCGGCGGCATATTACGCAGAGCCGAGGCTCGAAACCCGCTTTGGATATTTCCAGTCAGTCCTACACCGCGAGCGCGCCGCGTCGTCGCGGGGCAGCGCGCAGAGTTTTCCGGAGCGGCGGGCGGCGCCAGACGAAGAGCCGAGTTTCGCAACCGACTTGGATACCATGGCAGAAGCTCTAGAACAGATGATCCTGCCCGCGGTGAACCGCCACCTCGTCGACACGGGCGAGCGCGCCGAGCAGGTCATCTCGCAGCTCATGGTCTCCATGGTGCGCGAGGGCCAGGTCGCCGTCGACTGCGAGTGGGGCGCGAACGCCGCGCACGAGGGCGCGTCGTTGCTCCAGTTGGCGACGCGCGGCCTCGTCGTCTTGGTGGACCTGCTCGCGCTGCCGACGACGCCCGCCGTGCACAAGCTCCTCGCCGACGTCGCGGACCTCGCCTTCGCGAGCCGCCACGTCGTCGTGCTGGGCTTCGACGGCGAGGCCAACGACCTGCCCCACCTGCGGGCCGCGTGGCGCCGGCGCGGCCTCGTCTTCCCCGCGCGCGTCACGCGCTACGTCGACGTGCGCGTCGCCTGCGCCAGGGCCGGCGGCTGGGAGGCGGACTACGACGAGCTGCGGGGCTACGGCCTCGCGGAGTGCGCCGCCAAGTTCCTCGGGCGGCGCCTCGACAAGTCGCCGCGCGACCTCGACTGGCGACGGCGCCCGCTGACCGAGGCGGCCGTCGCGTACGCGGCGCTGGACGCCTACGCGCTGCTGCAGCTCTACGACCGGCCCGAGGTGGCGTCGGCCGTGGAGCGCGAGCGCGGCGGTCGCCGCCGGCCGCGGCGCCGCGGGCAGTCGCGGAGCGGTCGCGGTCGCCGCCGCCGCGGCCCGCGGCGTCGCCGCCGCCGCCGGCCGACGGCTGGGGCACGCCGTCGTCGCACGCGGGCGGCTGGGGCCGCGCGTCGCCGGACGCGGGCGCGTGGGGCCGCGCGCGGAGCCGGTCGCCGGACGCGCGGGGCCGGTCGCCGGACCGCCGCGTCGCGTGGAGCCCGACGGCGTCGTCGTTCCAGTCGCCGCAGAGCGACAGCGACGCCGAGGACGCGCGCCGGGCCGAGTTCTACGGCGCGCTCCGCGACTGGCTCGAGAAGGACGTGCTCGACAGGGCAGCAAAAGGGTGATTCAACGTCGCTTCAACGTGAGTGTTCCGCGCGCGCGCGTTTCGCAAACAGCACCCACGCTTCGAGACCGTTCCGAGAGATGATCGCTCGTCCAAAAATCAGCCGAAACGAGCGGAAAACGACCGAGATAGGAGCCTTTGAAGTTGGGAATTTCGCACCCTTTTGCTGCCCAGGTGCTCGACGCGGACGGCTACGAGCACGCGCTCAACGTGGGCAAGAACCGGCCGCTCCCGTGCCCCCTGCGGCCCCACTCCTACGGCACGCTCCGCGTCGTCCGCGCCTGCCGCTGCCGCGGCGGCAACCGGTCCTTCGACGGGTCGTCCTTCGAGGACAAGCTCCTGCGGCTCGGGGGCCACTGCCGCGCCGCGGCCGCGCCGCCCGCGTCCGACCCGGGCCACGCGCTGCTCTTCAACTGGCTCAAGGCGCGCTACGGCTCCACGGCGCTCAGGGCGCTGCCGCCCCTGCCGACCGCGGACGACGACGGCGACGACGACGACGAGGCCGCGGGCGAGCCCGCGGCGGCGCCGCCGCCGCCGTCGACGTCCGCGCGGCTCGTCCACGCGACCTCGACGTTCCTCGCGCGCTGGCCCGCGGAGGTGCCGCGCGCCTGCGCCCCGAAGGCGGCCTGCGACGTGTTTCCGTTGTTGGCCATGGTCCCGGCGAAGGCGCGGCCCGGCGTGACCGCCGCGCTCGAGGCGCGCGACGCGGAGGATCCCTACGGCGCGCTCGTCGACGTCAAGCTCGCCGCGGGGCGGCCGCCGCGGCTCCAGTTCGGCGGGGCGAACCCGGCGGTCGTCACCGTCGGCGGCGCGCCGCTCCTGACGGCCGAGGACCTCGCGCGGGCTTGCGCGCCGCTCACGTTCGACGCGGCGACAGAACGCGCGGCGCTCCCCGGCCAGCTCCACCGCGTCTCGCGCGTGCTGCACCGCGGCGCCGTCGCGGCGCTGAGTTTGAGAGTTGGCCGCCACGTGGCCGGCGCCGCGCACCGCCTGAGCGACGTGCTCCGGCGCGGCGAGTCCGTGCTGTTTCTGGGCGCGCCGGGCGCGGGCAAGTCGACGGCGCTCCGCGACGCGGCGGCGCTCGTGGGCGCGTACCGCGAGCGGCACGCGCCCGTCGGCGACTGCTGGGTCGTGGATCAGAGCCTGGAGCTCGGCGGCGACGGGCTGGCGGCGCACGCGAGCCTCCGGCCGGCGGAGCGGTACCCGTGCCAGGGCGAGGCGCTCCACGAGGCCATGCTCCGCGTGCTGCGGAACCACACGCCCGCGGCCATCGTCGTCGACGAGCTCGTGGACCGCGCGGCGGCCCTGGCGGCGGCGGACGTGGGCAAGCGGGGCGTCCAGCTCCTCGCGTCCGCGCACGCGTGGGAAAAGGGCGCGACGTTCCCAACTTTGAAAGCTCCCATCTCGGTCGTTTTCCACTCGTTTCGGCTGACTTTTGGACGAGCGATCATCGCTCGGAACGACCTCGAAGCGTCGATCATTTCTCTGGAACGCGCGCGCGTGGAACACTCACGTTGAAGCGACGTTGAATCACACGTTCCTAGGTCCGCGCACGCGCGGTCGCTCGCGGAGCTCGTCGACGACGCGGCGCTCGCGCCCGTGCTCGGCGACTTCGAGATCGTGACGCTGAGCGACCGCGAGGCGGCGCGGCGCGCGAAGACGCAGCGCGACCCGCGCAAGGTGCGGCGCCAGCGCGTGCGCAACGCGACCTTCGGCTGCGTCGTCGAGCTCCGGCCGCGGTCCCCGGGCCGGCCGGGCGAGTGGTCCGTCGTCCTCGACGTGAACGCGGCCGTCGACGCCATCGTCGAGAACGGCGCCTACGACGCCCAGGCCCGCTTCTACGACGCGGCCCACGACCTCTCCGCCGAGCCGCGCGTCCTGGGGGGGCTGGAGTAGGAAGCTTGCCCTGCACCGTGAAGGGCGGGGGGAGCCAATCAACGCGCATTCCGAGCCTCCTCGAGCGTGAGGAGCTCCGTGATGGAGCCCGACGCCGCGTTCCAGACGTAGACCGTCGGGCCGAGCGCGACGGCGACGCAGTTGTTCGCGCCCCACGACGTGAGGTTGAGGTAGTAGTAGAGCATGTGGGCTCTCCCCGCCGCCCTCGCCGTCGGCGTGGTCCTCGAGCGCGCGGGCTGCCCGCTCGTCGTCACGAGTGCGATCGCGGCGCTCCTCGCGCTGACGTCCTACCTCGGGGAGCGGCGCGCGGCGTCGCTCGCGGCGGCCCGGAAGGAGCGCGAGGCCGAGGACCTGGACCAGCGGTTCCGCGAGGCGGCGCTCGCGAGCGGCGTCAAGATCTCGCCCCGCGAGAAGATCCTCCTCGAGGAGCTGGACTGCCGCACGTGGCTGGACCAGGCGCTGACGACGGTCTGGGCCACGTACCACGCGAAGATCAGCGGCTGGCTCGAGGGCGTGTTGGCCGGCGTGCTCGACGGCCTCGTGCCCTTGGGACCCATCGACTCGTTCACCTTCAAGACGTTCCAGCTCGGCGCGGCGGCGCCGCGCGTGCGCCGCGTCGTGCCCGTGCGCCTCGCGGAGGACGGCGTCGTCATGCTCGACCTCGACGTCGACTGGCGCGGGTCCGGCGTCGACGTCGACCTGTCCGCGCGGCTCGGCGGCGGCTGGATCGGCGCGTCCGTGCCCCTGGGCCTGGACCACGTGTCCTTCAAGGCGACGCTGCGCGTGCGCTGCGTGCTCGGCGACCGGTCGCCGTTCGCGGCGCTGGTCGACGTCGCGTTCGCGCGGAAGCCGGAGGTCCTGGACTTCGGGCTCTCGGTGATCTCGGGCGACATCACGGGCCTGCCCTCCATCCCGGCGCTCGTGTCGAACGCGCTCGAGGGCGTCATCGACGGCCTCATGGTCTGGCCGCGGCGCCTGTCGTTCCCGCTCGACGAGTGGTGGCACCCCTGGGACGTGCCGCCGGCCGTGGCGCACGGCGTGCTGCGGCTGACCGTGGACCGGGCGCGCGACCTGCCCGGCGCGGACCTCGACGGCAAGTCGGATCCCTTCGTCGTCGTCGAGGTCGGCGGCGCGGACGCGGGTGGCGGCTTCGAGGCGCGCGAGACGCTGCGCACGGCGACGAAGTCGAAGACGCTGAACCCGACCTGGGACGGCGAGGTCTTCACGCTGACCATCGCGGACCCCGCCGTCGACCGCGTCCGCATCTCCGTGTTCGACTACGACCTCGGCGGCGAGCCGGACCCGCTGGGCTCCGCGTGGCTCGGCGGCCGGCTGCTGCGGGACCTGGCCCGCGGGTCCACGCGCGCCTTCTGGCTGCGCCTCGAGCCGCCGTCCAAGGGCGCGGGGAAGCTGCGCTACGGCGGCGCGGGGCCGCCGCGCGTGCGGCTCGAGGTCGCCTACGGCGCGCTCCTCCCGGCGGCGGCGGACTTCCCCGCCGTCGGCGAGGAGGGCGCGGCGCCGACCCCGACGTCGCCGCGCCGCGCGCGGAGCGAGTCGCTCGCCGCCGCGGGGCCCTGCGCCGTCGAGGCCGCGCTCGGCGCGGCCGCCGCGGCCGGCCTCCGGACGCGCGGCCGCGCGCTCCTCAAGCGGGGCGCCATCCTCAAGGAGGGCTTCGGCGGCTTCAAGCGCTGGTCGCACCGCTGGCTCGAGCTCGAGCTCGAGCTCGACCTGACCGCGGACGGCTTCCGGCGAGCACCAGTGTGGATTCCAACCACTGGTTTGTGCCCCCCCCGCCAAACTTCGGAACTCTCGAGCTCGGTCACATCGAAGTCGAATCGGCTGATTTTTGGACGGATCGATTGCTCTCGTCGAATTCTCGAAGCACGACAGAAGAATTCGCGGTCGCATACGCGCACATTGAAGTCGTGTTGACTATTTTATTTCCTGCCCAGGCTCGCGGCCGCGCTCCGCTACGGCAAGCCCGCGTCCACGGACGACGCCGAGGCCGCGCGCGGCGAGGTGCGGCTCTCGCCCGACGCCGCCGTGTCCATCCTCGAGGAGAAGAAGAAGCAGGCCGTCGTCGAGGTGAGGACGGGCGCGTCCAAGCCCTGGCGCTTCGCGCCCCTCGACGCCGACGCGTCGTCGTGGGTCGCGGCGCTCGAGGCCGCGTCGGCGGCCCTGGGCCTCGACGGCGCGGCGCTCCGGTCCGCGGGCGAGAACGGCGACGCCGTCGACCTCTACTCGGGCGCGACGGTCGTCGTGGAGATTTTGGAGGCGCGGGGACTGACGGCGGCGGACGACGACGGGCTGAGCGACCCCTACGCCGTCGCGCGATTAGGCGGCGAGACGTTCTCGACGCGGACCATCAAGCACACGCTGGACCCCCAGTGGTTCGAGAGCCACGAGTTCTGCGGCGGCGTCGCGCTGGGCGAGAGCCGCGGCGAGTACGCGGACTTCTCCGCCGACGGCGCGACGTTGCGCGTCGACGTCTACGACGCGGACCCCCACGGCGCGAGCGAGCACCTGGGCGCGGCGACCTTCCCGCTGCGCGACGTCGACGACGCCGTCGGCGGCGCGGTCTGGGCGCCGCTCGCGGCGCCGCCCGGCCGCGCGGGCGCCGCGGGCGACGTCCGGCTCCGCGTCACGCGGCGCGCGTTCGCCGCGCGCGCGCTGGACCGGCCCAAGCAGATGGCCGGCGGCGTCGGCACGGCGGCGACCGTGCTGCGCGCGGCGAACATCTTCCGGAGCAAGGCGAATACGCCGGACCGCGTCTCCTGCCTCTCGGCGATGGGCGCCTCGCGGCGCGTGGACGACAGCGACGACGACGACGACGACGGCACGCCGAAGCGCACGGCGTGCGTGAACTTCCGGCGGCGCAGCGGCGACGGCGGCGGCGTGGAGCCCGTGCCGGAGGCCATGACGCGGTGAATCGGGAGCGGGGGGAGGCGTAAGGCCGCGGCACCCCCGGAGGCGTCCCCGGGCCAGTGGCACATGACGCCGCAGAACCGTTTTGGTGTCTTACCATTGGAGGCATGAACCTCCCCCTCGAAGTCGCCGGTTTGACGTCTGGGTCATCTCAGACTCGCCGATGACCAGCTGTCGGTTGGCTTCGGGTTTGCACGCCTTCCCCCCCGCCTTGGTGCGGTGGCCGTGGACGACGGCGCAGGAGTCGCATGCATATAACTTGCAAATGAGCTGTTCGGGGAGATCGTAGAGTAGGTTGTGATCTGCGAGCGTAAAATCCCACAGCACCTTGCGGAGCGAGACTTGATCGTGGCCATCCGGCGAAACATTTTTGCTCAACTCCCTCGTCCACGCTTGCGCGAATTCAGTCCCACTCGCGCCATGTAAAAACATCGTCCCACCTTGGCGTTCGCAGAACGTGTTCGGGATTCCGGCAACCTCGTGGCCTTTTGGTATGCAACATTTTGCGCGGCGGAGGGCCACAGACGCGTGCGCCGAGCGCATCGCTTGGAACACGGCGAGAAAGTCGGCTTGCGCGCGGGGTTGAATATGCACGTCGTTATCCAAGTAGATGAGCCCGTTGCTCGCGTGGATACGGGCATACTTCTCGATGGCCCGGACTTTGAAGGAGCGAACTTCGCGCATATGTTCTAGGGTCCCCTCCTTCATATTCAGCGTCATATTCAGCGTTGCGAGGTCGACGCGATCGCAGAGTTGTGGGAGTTTATCGACCCATGTCCTCATGTCGGCATCGACGACGAGTTGGATGTCAAAGTCCGTCAACGTATTACAGGCAACGCCAATCATCTCCGAGAACTCCTTGGCCATTACGCCACGCTCTTTCATCGTGCAGGCCGCGAGGAGAAGCGTCGGCGCCGCGGACGCGCACCCGGCGCAAGCACACACCAGCAGGAGCGCAAGGACGGCGTTCATCGTTGAGCTCGCGGCGCCTGCGGTGGCGGCGGGGGGGTCGGGAACGCGTTGCGCGGCGACGATCGACGGACGAGACGACGTTGGTCCCGGCGCGTTCGGCCGCCGGACGCGCCGCGGAAGAGCGAGTCGCTCTTCCGCGTCGTCGAGGTGCCCGCCGCGGACCACGCCGACGGCGGGCCGCGACGTCGGCGGCCGGGCTTGGATGCGCTTGGCGTGCACCGAGGACTCGAGGACGAAGCAGAGCCGTTTGACTCGCCCGCCGCCCGGGCGCCGGGTCGCCCGTTTTGGGACGAAACCCGTCGCGAGCGCTCGATTTTTCGGGCGACGTTCGAGGAGAGGGGGGACACCATGACGGGACGCGGGGCGGCGCTGTACAATGGGGGCGTGAGAAGCAACTCCGTGCGGTGCGGGAGCGGATGATCGTCAAAAGTGACACAGGCGCCCGCGGCCGGCAAAATTTGGCGATTCGGTCACGCCGCGGCTCGTCGTGTACTCGGCGAAGGCGTCGGCGAACCAGGCCTCGAACCGAGCGAGGCGGGCGGATGCGGGGACGCCGACTAGCCGTCGCAGCGGTGGTGGCTCGTAAGTCTGGCGAGGGCGGCGTGTCCGCGAGGTGGCGCGCGCCGTCTTCGACTCGGTGATCACCATGGTACCTACGGCGTAGAACTGGACAGCAGCACCCCGGGACTACATCCGGGCGCCCCATAAACACCGCCCGATATCAGCGCCCTTAGACCCCCGCCCGCCCTACATGGCGTCGATGGCCGCGGCCTTGCGGGACTTGGGCGTGATGTTGACGTAGACCGCGCCGCCGTCGAGCTCCTTGGTCGGGTAGACGCTCAGCGGCTTGTCCGGCTTGTTCCGCAGGAGCGCGCCGAAGAGGGGGTTGCCCTTGGCCTCCGACGCGACGCCCGCGCCGTCGTCGAGCGAGTATGCGGCGCCGCACATCTCGCATAGCACCTGTTCGACGCCGTCGACGACCTGGGTCTCGCTCTTCGTGAGCGGGTACTCGCAGCGGCCGCACTCGCAGGACGTGGCGACGACGTCGCCGTCCTGCTTCCGCCGCACGAGGTAGGGCTTGCCCGTGATCGACCGGCCGACCGCGCGCGCCTCGCCCGCCTCGAGCGAGCACTCGAGCTCGACGAGCGGCACCCAGCCGTTGTCCGTCGTCAGGCCCGCGGCCGAGCTGCGCGACTTCTTCCCGCCCTTCTTGGCCTTGCGCACGTCCGTGCCGAAGCCGGCGCCGAGCGCCGTCTTGGCGGCGGCGCGGGGGGCGACGGTCGTGGGTTTGTTCAGCTGGAGAGAGCCGCCGAGCGCGAGCGCGCAGGCGGCGACGACGAGCGCGAGGCGGGCCATGGCTGAAACGCGGCTCTCTGCTGGGACTGCGGTGCGGGCGCCGCGGTGATGCGACGAGACTGGCCTGCTCTTTGCGTGGCTCTTGCCACATCAGACACCTCACTTCACCACCGTTTTCTTGCACCGTCGCAAGGCGATGGGAGACGCTGCCCCGACCGCGACAATGATCCGCGTGCGCCGCCAAAAGGAGCGCCTCGCCGCCTTCGACAAAAACAGCGACTGCGAAGCCACGCACTGCTTCGACTTTGCGGACCTGAAACTGCCGGCCTGCGCCGCCCACGGCCGCAACTTCCGCACCTGCCGCGTGCTCAACGAGGACCGGCTCGCGGCCGGGGGCCGCGGCTTCGACGAGCACGGCCACGCGGAGTACGAGATCTTCAGCGTCGTGCTCGCGGGCCGCCTCCGCCACGCCGACGACCTCGGCAACGGCGCCGACGTCCCCGCGGGCGCGGTGCAGCTCACGTCCGCCGGCGCGGGCGTCCGCCACTCGGAGCGCAACGCCTCGAAAGACGACGAATGCCATCTCCTCCAGATCTGGGTCGAACCGAACGAAGCCGGCCTCGCGCCCTCGCACGAATGCCGCGACTTCGACTGGCTGGACAGGCCGAAGACGCTGCTCCTGTCGCCGACGGCGGCGGGCGGCTCGCTCCGCGTCCGCGCGGAGGTCTACGTCTGGGGCTGCTGCGTCGACGGCGAGGACGTGGAGCTCGCATCGCCCTTTGGACGCGACGCGGGCTGGGCCGTCGCGCACACAACGCGCGGCGCCTGCGCGGCCTGCGGCGGCCTCGCGTGCGTCGCCGGCGGCGAAACAACGACGCTCCAGCGCGGCGACACGGCCTTCGTCGACGCCGCGGCGACGGTGGTGCTGCGCGGCGCCGCGCGCGCGACCGTCGTCGTCCTGGCGTTCGGCGACGCGCCGTGGGCCGAGCTGTCCGTGCAGGACAAGTGGGCCAAATTTCTCGACGGCCCCGGGACGGCGTCGAGGCGCCTCGCGGCGTCGCTCGGATCGTAATATTTACTCCACCTTAGGTTCCGTGTCCAGCGCGGCCGCGGCCCCGAGGAAGAGCAGCGCGGAGACGACGTAGGCGCCCGCGACGACCGCGGACACGAGGACGCCCGCGTCGAGCGTCGCGTCCGCGTCGAGCGCTTTGCCCGCCGCGAGCGGCGCCAGGGACCCGAGGAGCGTCAGGGACGTGAAGGTGCCCTGGGCCAGGCCCCGGGACCGCGGCGCGACCTCGGCCTGGATGAGCGCGGTCGTCGGGCCGATCCAGCACTCCGCGGCGAGGAACTCCAAGGCCAGGAGCCCGACGGCCCACTCGAAGGTCGGCGCCCGGAGCAGCGCCGCGACCCAGAGCGGCGCGGCGAGCAGCGACCCGACGACGGGCACGAGCGCCCGCGCGGCCTTCTCGCGGCCCGGCGGCGCGCGCGCCGCCAAAGCGTCGGCCGCCGCGCCGCCGAGCAAAGCCGACGCGAAGCCCGCGCCGCCGACGACGAAGGCGTAGCCCAGGCCCAGGTCCGCGGCGCGCGCGGGGAAGGCCGACCGCAGGCAGGGCAGCGCCCAGACGGCGATGGTGAAGCCCGCGCAGAACCGCGCGGCCGTCGCCGCGAGCAGCAAGAGCGTCGCCGGCGACGCGAGCAGGTCCCCGAAGCCGCCGCCGCCCGCCGCCGTGCTCCCGGTCGCCGCGCTCGTGCCGACGCGCTCGCCGGGCAGCGCGACCGCCGCCGCGGCGGCGACGGCCAGGCCCGCGGCGCCGACGACCTCGAAGGTCCGGCGCCAGCCCAGCGCGTCGTCCAAAAGCACGGACGCGGACGCGAGCGCCCCCCCGACGCTCACCGCCGCCGCGTAGCGCGACGTCGCCGTCGCCAGTTTGTCCGGGGGGAAGGCCCGGCCGATCAGGGCGTAGCCCGCGGGCGCCGTCGCCGCCATCGCGACGCCCTGCGCCGCGCGGCAGAGCGCGAGCTGCGCAAAGGACTCGCAGGACCCGCTGGCGACCGTCGCCAGGGACCAGACGCCGCAGCTCAGCCACGTGAGCTTCGCCGCGTCGGCGCGGTCGACGACGGCGCCCGCGGCGAGCGAGCAGCCGCCGAAGAGCACGTTGAACGCCAGCGTGCCCAGAATCGCGTAGTCGGACCGCGAGAGGCCGAGCGCCGCGTTGACGAACCGGACGCCGTCGTCGCTCCCGAAGTCGACGGTGGAGAAGAGGAGGCTCCGGCACCACTGGTTCGACGTGTAGACGGCGACGAGCGACGCGAGCAGGGCCGTGCGCCGGCCGTCGCTCATGGGAGCGCTCGCGTCGGCGTCGGCGTTGGGCTGCGCGCGGCGCGCGACGTCGACGGTGCGCGTGAGTGGGCGACGCATGGTCGGCGTCGGGCGCAGCCAGGCCTGGCATGTGCACGCGCAGAGCAGCGCGAGAGCGGCGCGAGGCATCGTCGGTCAGAGCTCGTGGCAAACTCAACCTTGAAGGGTAACATCCCTCCTTGAAGCCGGAAAAACGCCGTCCGGCGACGCGCGCGCGGGTCGTCTTTAGTGGACGTTTCTGGCGTCCATCTCTCGAGTCGCATCGACGAAAATGACAACGCGCGCGATCGACGCGCCCTCGGGAAATTATCCGCGCGCGTTACGAAAACCGCGCGCGCGCGCCTACCCCTTAAAGTTGCCGCCGTGCTTCGTGAGGAGGTACGCCAACCAGCCGTCGAATATCGCCAACGCGACGATGATCAGGGACAGGAAAAACCGCTTCTTCGCGCGCTCGAATTCGATGCTCGCGAGCGTCTGGCGCGCGTCCGACGTGACGCCGCGCGTGGACCGCGCGCGATCCGCCGCCTCCCGTATCTGCCACCGCTGCGACTCGAGCGCGTCCATGGTTCGCCCGGCGATTTGTTGGGAATCTTCGACGGTGTCGACCGCATCGTCCATAAGTCGATTATAAACCTCGTCTTCGCACTCTTGTCGGATTTCCGTCGTCGCGCCGTACTCGCGCACGCCCGTCATTTCACTACTGGACCGACCGGGGGCGCGCATCGAGCGGCGGTGGGAGTCGTCGCGGCGCGCGGAGGCGTCGCGCCAGGCGCTCTGCCACAGCACGATTCACGCGGCCGCTCGCCGCCTCGCCGCGAGCCTCCAGCATGGCGACCAGTGGCACCACCCTCGCGGCCATCCCCGAGGGCCGGTCGGCCTCCGGCGCGCCGCCGCGGAAGCGGCGCAAGGCCGCGTCGGCGGCCGTGCTCGGCTACCTCGACTCGCTGCCGTGCGCGACGCAGTACGAGTCGTCCTACATGCACCGCGACGTCGTGTCCCACGCCGTCGTCGCGAACCGCACGGCGTTCCTCGCGACGGCGTCGGAGGACGGCCACGTCAAGTTCTGGAAGAAGATGCAGGAGGGCATCGAGTTCGTCAAGCACTACCACGCGCACGTCGGCCCCGTGTCGGAGATGGCCGCGTCGTTCGACGGCCTGTGGCTGGCGACGACGGGCGGCGACGGCGCGGCGAAGCTCTACGACGTCGCGTCCTTCGACATGGCCTGCATCCTGCGGACGAAGAAGATGGCCGAGCCCTACGTGCCCGGCTGCGTCGCGTGGCTGCAGACGGAGGCGCGGCCGGCGCCGCGCGTCGCCGTCTGCGACGCGGCGGAGGCCGCGGCGGTGCGCGTCTACGGCGCGCCGGCCTTCGAGGAGTGCGCGCGCGTCCGCGTGCACCCCGCGGCGCCCGTCGTGGCGCTGTGCTTCCTCGACGCGCTGGACCTGTGCGTGTCCGCGGACGCGCGCGGCGTCCTCGACAGGGCAGCAAAAGGGTGATTCAACGTCGCTTCAACGTGAGTGTTCCGCGCGCGCGCGTTTCGGAAACAGCACCCACGCTTCGAGAGCGCTCCGAGAGATGATCGCTCGTCCAAAAATCAGCCGAAACGAGCGGAAAATGACCGAGATAGGAGCCTTTGAAGTTGGGAAGTTCGCACCCTTTTGCTGCCCAGGTCCTCGAGTACTGGCGCGCGCCCGAGACGCGGGGCGGCGTCGACGACGAGGGCAACGTCGCCAAGATCCAAGAAACGGCGGCGGACCTGCCGACGGACGTCGTCACCTTCAAGCGCAAGGTCGACACGGACCTCTACGCGCTGGCTAAGGCCAAGGTCGCGCCGTGCCGCGTCGCCGGGTCGCGCGACGGCTCGAAGTTCGCCGTGACGTGCGCCGACGCGACCGTGCGCCTCTTCGACACGCGCACGGGCAAACTCCTGCGCACGCTTGACGAGCGCGTCGATAGTTTGGATGCGAAGCGGTCCCAGTGGCGCGACCGCATCAAGGAGCACGAGGAACAAGCCGCGAAGGCGGCGGAGGCGTCGTCGCCCGACTCGTCGAGCGACGACGAGGGCCCCATGCCCGAGGGCTACGTCAAGCCCGCCAAGGAGAAGGCGCCGCCGCCGCCGCCGCCCGCGCCGAGCGACGCGGCCCTCGCGGCCCTCGTCGCGCTCGACGACCTGTCCTACGGCCGCCGGTCCGCCGCGGAGCGCGAGATCCAGAGCAAGGCGGGCCGCGGCACGTTCCTCGGCCGCTGGAACTGCGCCTTCGACGAGACGGGCGAGTTCCTGCTCTACGGCGCCATGCTCGGCGTCAACGTCGTCCACGCGGGCTCCGGCAGGGTCGCCGCGGTCGTCGGCGCCAAGGACGAGTCGGAGCGCTTCGGCGCCCTCGCCGTCTTCGCCGGCGCCGCGAAGCTCGACGCGCAGGCCGAGCAGGCGCGGCGCAACCAGAAGGCCATCGAGACGGGCGACGAGACGAAGAAGAACGTCATGTCCATGGGCTGCGAGCAGACCGAGGAGGGCACGCCGGACCCGTCCGTCTTCTGCACGTCGTTCAAGCGGAAGCGGTTCTACTGCCTGAGCCGCCGCGAGCCGGACCCGGGCTTCGACGGCGAGAACCTCGACGCGCGCGACGTGCAGAACGAGCTGCCCAGCGCCGAGGAGCTCGGCCGCCGCGCGGCCGCGAGCGCGCCCCTCGCGCTCGGCACGGACGCGCTCCTGCGGACGACCGCCGGCGACATCAAGATCAAGCTCCACCCGAACGAGTGCCCCAAGACCGTGGAGAACTTCTGCACGCACGCGCGCGACGGCTACTACGACGGCCTCCTCTTCCACCGCTGCATCAAGCAGTTCATGGTCCAGACGGGCGACCCGCTCGGCGACGGCACGGGCGGCGAGTCCATCTGGGGCGGCGAGTTCCAGGACGAGTTCCACCCGTCGCTCAAGCACGACCGGCCCTTCACCGTGTCCATGGCCAACGCGGGCCCGAACACGAACGGCTCCCAGTTCTTCATCACGACGGTGCCGACGCCCTGGCTCGACAACAAGCACACGGTCTTCGGCCGCGTCTCCGTCGGCATGGAGACGGTCCAGACCATCGAGCGCGCGCCCTGCAACCGCTTCGACAAGCCCCACGACGACATCAAGATCATCTCCGTCGAGATCTCCACCGCCGGGGCCTAAGTCGCGACCTTAGAGCACGCGGCGATGCCCGTGGCCGCGTGGCTCCGCTCCCAGTGCCGCCCGTCGAACTTCCGGATCTCGACGTCCGCGATCGTGCCCTCGTCGACGCAGTACAGCGTCACGCCGACGCCGTCGGGATTGCTCCGCGGGTGGTAGAAGCTCTGGACGCCGCAGCGCCTGCAAAAGAGGTGGCGCGCGACGCCCGTGCCGAAGTTGTACTCGCTCAGGCGCTCCGCGGGCGTGTGCAGCGAAAAGTCCGCCGCGGGGACGATGAAATGGACGTTCCGCTTCATCGCGCAGACGCTGCAGTTGCAGTCCCAGGCGACGAGCGATGCCGCCGCGCGCACGGTCCACCGCACGTCGCCGCAATGGCAACCGCCGTGGTGGTCGATTTTGGCCATGATGTCGCTGCGCCGCCGCAGGCCTCCGGCAGTGCGTCGCGTGGCCTGGCGCTGCGCAAGCAGTTTTGGCAGGCTGCTGTGCGAGGTGTCGCCGCAGGCCTCCAACCGTCTTGTGCTGCTGCGCCTGCAGCCAGGACGCGGACCAGCGCATCGATGGCGGCAGCCGCGGCTCCCTGTGATCCCTGTGGCAAAGATCACTGCACTTTGCCCACTTCGGCGAGCGCCTCGAGCCGCAGCCGCGCGCGACCGCCGAGCGGCACACCGATAGCGGCGCCCCGCGTCGTCGTCGGGCGTAGACGGCGCTCCGCGTCGTCGGCGTCGACAATACATCACCTACCAGCGCGCGAAGACCTGCCCCACACACGAACCGCAACCCCCCGGCGTCCGCCCCGGCAAGTGTTTTTGTCCCGAGGAAGATCAACCACCAATGACTACTGGAAGCAGAGCGATCGGGTGTGACAGCCTAGCCGCGCTGAAGAGTGCAATTTTAAGAATCAACCACCCGAGGGGCCGTCGCATCGACGCCGCGCCCGCAGCCGCGGCCCGAGGGCGCCGCGCGACGCCGCGACCCCGCGCAGGTTTCTCATCGAATCGACGCCGCGGCGCGCGCGCTAGAGCGCGGAGGACGCGCCGCCGCGCCGCGCCGCGGCGAGAGCGACGCGCGCGTAAGTCTAGCGCGCGCACGACGACCCGGTCCGCGGACCTTTTACGGCGCGCTCGGGGGGGGGAGGGGCTCAGACGACGGCGATGCCCCGGACGTCCTCGTCGACGGCGGCCAGGTCCGTGCCCGGGTTCTCCGTCCACTTGAGCTTGTCGTCGGCCTGGAGGTCCCCGGGCGGCGGCGGCGCGCGGCCGACGACGAGCATCTCCTTCTCCGGCGACTGGCAGGCGCGCTGGTTCCGGCGCACGGCGAAGAGGCCCCCGAGGATGCCGACGAGGAGGAGCACGAGGACGATGGCGACCACGCCCATCATGGCGCCGGCGACGTCGTCGTCGTCGTCCGCCGCGTCGCCGTCTGCCGCGGCGGCGGCGGCGCAGCCCTCCTCCCAGAGGCGGACGCAGGCGCCGCTCGAGGCGCACCAGGTGTAGCCGCAGGACGCGCAGCAGTCGTGCTCGTCGCGGTCGCCGCCGACCATGCCGTCGTCCGCGAGCGTCGCGGCGTCCTCCTCGACGAGCGCCTCGCACGACGTCTCCCAGGAGCGGATGCAGGCGTTGAGCGAGTCGCACCAGGAGTAGCCCGCGCTCGCGATGCAGCCGTGGTCGTCGTGGTCGCCGCCGAGGAGCGTGTGGCCCGGGCCCGCCGTCGGCGCTTCCGTCGCGGCGACGCACGGCGTCTCCCACGAGCGGACGCACGCGCCCAGGCCGTCGCACCAGGCGTAGCCCGCGCTGGCGATGCAGCCGTGGTCGTCGTGGTCGCCGCCGAGAAGCGTGTGGCCCGGGCCCGCCGTCGGCGCGGCCGTGGCGCCGCAGTCGCGCTCGCACGTTCCCGAGGGCTCGCACCAGCGGTAGCCCGCGGACGCGACGCAGCCGTGCTCGTCCTCGTCGGCGCCGACCACGGTCGCCGCGGGGCAGGAGTCGGCGTCGGCGTAGCACGAGTTCGACGCCGCGTCGTGGCGCCAGGGCAGGTGCGGCGGGCACTGGCAGGCCGCGACGCACACAAAGGAGCAGAACGTCGCCGCCTCGGCCCCGCACGTGTTCTCGCACAGGGTCCCGCAGTCGTTCCAGACGAGGTCCCCGGGGCACGTCGAATTCTGGGCCCCGGCGAGGGCGAGCCCCATCAGAAGCCAGGACGAACCCATCATCATTGGCATCCGCCGCGCACCTTCGTTCGACGAATTAGGATGGGGCTTGAAGGGGGGCAACTTTAACCTTCACCCCTGCGGCAAAAACGATCACAGCTGATTTTGGCCCGCCGCTGAGTACCGGTGCTCGTCGAAATGGGAGAGTGCGTGGCCCGTCCCGACCCCGCGCGTGTCGCAGGACCCTCACGCTCGTCCCCCGCCGCGTAGCGCGCAGGCCGAGCGGAAGCAGAAGGATGACGCCGTGCGTACGACGATTATGCAAAAGCTCGTCGAGACCGGCGAGAAGGAGCGCCTCAAGGAGCTCCTGCGGCAGAAGCTCGTCGAGTGCGGCTGGCGCGACGAGCTCAAGGAGTACTGCAAAGGCGCGTGACCCCTGCCCGGCCGGCCGCGCGCGCGGCCGGAGAGCGGGCGGCGGCGGGCGCGCGCCCCGGGGACGCCGGCGCGCGCGCGCGCGAGGACGCCTCCCGGCGACGCTGGCTTCCCCCGATCGCAGAGGTGATCCGGAGCAAGGGCCTCGAGAAGATCACCGTCGACGAGCTCGTCGCGGAGATCACGCCGCGCGGCCGAGGCGCGTCTCCTCCGCGCGCGTTCGAGGCGCCGCGCCTTCCGACGCCACCGCCCCCGCGCAGCAACCGTGCCCGACGAGGTGAAAACCGAGCTCCTCCAGAGCATCCGGAAATTCCTCCAGGTCTGCGCTTCCTTCCTTCGCTTCGCGCGGGACGCCGCGGCCCCTCGCAGGCGACGTGAGGGCTGTGTGTTTCGAGGCGCCGTCGGCGGAGTCCGGCGGCGCGCGCGCAGGCGAGGTCTCACGGCCCCATTTTAAGCGTATCCCCATGAGTTTGTGGGGTGGCGGGATCCCATGTTGAAGACGGCAACATGCAGACAATTTGAGCCCGGATCAAGCGCGATGATGGAGTCGTGCCGCGAGTCGAGGCCCCTCTGCTGATCCGCTAACGGTGCTGCTGATGGATGACGGCCACATGATGGACGACGGCGATGATCTCAGCGACCACAGCGAGGACGAGCGCTTGCTGCGGGCCGACGTCGACGACATGAGCGACGGCGACGACGACGGGGTGCCGCCGGCGAAGCGCGCGCGCGTCGACGCCGTCGCCGCCACCTGGATGCGCCGCGCCGCGCCCCCGACGACGCCGTCGCCCTTCGCGCCGCCCGCGACGACGAAACCGCTCGCCGCCGCCGCGCCGCCCGCCGCCGCGGTGTCCGTCGCCGAAGCGCTCGCGGCCGCGCTTCCGTACGATCCGCCGGCGACGCCGTGGGTCAAGCGACGGACGCACGGCCCGCCCAAGGTCTCGCCGCCGGCGCCGGCGCGCGCGGCCCTCGGCGCGCCCGCCCCGCCGCCGCCGCCGCCGAAGCGCGCGTGCGTGCCCTGCGGAGAGGAGACGCCGTTCTTCGGAAGGGGGCTCGGCGCGCGGTCCGGCGCGGCGCGGCAGCCCGCGCCCGTGCCCTACTTCGGCGTCGGGCGGACCCACCGGTCCGCGGCGCCCGCGCCGGGCCGCGTCGTCGAGACGCTCCGCGGCGTCGCCGGCAAAGCGATCTTCGCGCTCCCCCTGGATCCCGAGAAAAACGCGCTCGGGGCCTGGTTCTCGGGCCACGTCGTCGACGCGGCGACGGGCCGCCAGTTCCAGGTCGTGGGCACCGAGGAGCCCTGCCCGGCCGGGTGCCTCTGCGCCAAGGTCGACCTCTTCTCGCTCACGTTCACGGATCCGCGCCTGAGGCGCCGCGCGACGGCGCTCGTCGAGGCCACGGGCGGCGACTACCTCCGCCTCGCGCCCGCCGACGCCGCGGGCTGCGCCTTCGAGGCCGAGAGCCTGATCGCCGAGCGCGCGCGCGCGGACGCGCTCCTGGCCAAGTTCTTCCCGCGGCTCCTCGCGGACGCGACGGCGCGGGGCACGGAGGTCCTGCTCAACGTCGGCACCGTGGCCTGCGCCCAGCTCCTGTTTTCCGAGATCCCGAGCTAAGATCCGGAACGGCGGCCCGCGCACAGTCAGTGCCCCGATCAACGTACATCTAGGTGCACCCGTACGAAATATTAATAAAGATCAATCATCGAATTCCGGCCGGCGGAGCCAGAGTCATTAGTCGTCCATAGAGGCTGTACGTCGACCGCGCGCGGTGTCGCGGAGGTCCGCGGGCTGAAATCACGGCCAAAATTGGGTTATGGTCGTATCAAAGCAAGCTCGATGATATTCACGCGTTAATTGCACGTTTGCGATGACTTTTTGCGCGCGGTCGCTGGTTCGGGTCAGGAAATCGCAAGATTTAACTTCAACAAAAGTGCTGAAGTTCAACAAAAATGTTGACTTTTAAATCCAGGCTATCAGAATCTGAGTTTTGATCGGTGCACTGCGCACAGTCCGTCGGTAAAAAAATTTAGAGAGCGGGCGCGGTCGAGAGGGCAGGGGCGGATGGCGCCGCGATCTGGCGGGCTCAGGCGATGGCCGTCTTCGCCGAGTTGAAGGCCCAGTCGCCGCACGCCGTCGGGAAGTCCGCGACGGCCGCGAGTTTCCACTTCTTGTCCGACGACGCGCACGCCGACAGGAGGAGCTGCGAGTTCGTCGCGTCGGTGCCGAAGACCTCGTAGCCGCCGTGCTCGACGGCCGCCTTCATGTCGTCGAGCGAGCCGCCGGCGGTCCGCGTCGTCGCCATGAGCGCGAGCGGTTTTTCCGCGAGGTCGCAGACCGTCGTGAGGAAGTCCTCCGCGTCGATGGCCGCGGCGCACTGGCCGTGCTTGTCCCACTCGTGCGTCTCGAAGGAGATGATGGCCGCGCTGTCGTCGTCCGTCGCCGAGTAGCAGTCGACGACGGACGTCGGGTCGGCCTTGCTCCCCAAGGGCGCGATGCACTGCGACGTGCCGTAGGACCCGACCTCGGGCCAGAGGCCGTGGACGCTCGGCGCCGGGTGCTCGTAGGCGCCGGACCCGAGGCCCGAGCAGAGCGTCAGGACGCCGCAGAGGTCCACGCCGCTCCCGCATTCCATCTTGCTGTCCCCGCGCGCCGCGTCCTGCTCGGCGCTCAGCTGCTCGAAGTAGGGCGCCTCCGCCCCGCGGAGGGCCGGGGCGGCGGCCCGGGCGGCCGCGGCGAGGGCCAGGGCGAGGAGCGGCGCGCGCATGGCCGACGAGCCGGACGCACCAGACGATCTGTTCGGCCTGTGCGGGCTGCGGCCACGGTCTGTGGCAATACTTGTGAAGATGTTGCAGTTAAGTTGCTGGCGGGTCCAGGCTCATCGGCGGCGCCTCGCGCCGGTTCGTCGTCGTCGCCTCCGGCTCGACGGGCGCGACGACGACGACGTCGTCGTCGAAGTCGAGGGCGTTCTCCAAGTTTTGGCTCGGCCGCGGCGCCCGGCATCGGGCTCGCGCTGCTCGCGCTCGTTTCCCGCCTGACTTAGATCATCCTGTCTCCGCCTTTCTCAGATGCCGGGACAGTCGGGTGCGGGGCGAGTCTAATATGGGCTCTCTTCAACACGTGCGCCTATCACCTCCCTGCGTCTGACGGTGGTGCACCAAAACTCGATCGACCTCATCCTCAGATCGAGCAGTGGCGCGGCAAAATCAAAAGCTCTCAGACCGCCGACAACAACAGTCAATAGCATGGTCCAGGGCGGCGGTCAATCGAAGGGCGGCGCGAGCAAGGGCGGCTCGAGCTCCGAGAAGCTCAGCGAGAAGAAGATGCGCAAGATGGAGACGCGCAACCTCGAGGAGAAGCTCATCGTCCTCCGCGGCGCCCTCTTCGAGGCCGACGGCAAGGACAAGGACGTCTGCGCGGCCCTCGGCCCCTTCATGAAGTACGACCGCAACGGCCTCGACGTGAAGATCAGCTTCGCGCCGCGCCTCAAGGACGACGCCAAGAAATGGGCGTTCAAGGCCGTGAAAGACACGATGGAGGACAAGTACGACGCCGCGGGCTACGGCTGGGACGACGCGGACAAGCTCAAGGAGCTCGAGGAGGACGGCGGCCGCTTCCTCGTGCTCAAGGAGGCGGGCGCGCTCGTCGGCGTCGTCCACTTCCGCTTCACGGTCCAGGGCGACGTCGTCGACAAGATGCTCGGCGACACGGTGCTCATGGTCCACGACCTCCAGATCGCGCCGTCGCACCGGCGCAAGGGCCTGGGCAAGCACGTCGTCCAACTGCTCGAGATGGCCGCGCGGAAGCAGAAGATCGCGCGTCTGTCCATGCAAGTCATGCTCGGCGACGACGAGACGCGCGCGTTCGTCGCTTCGCTCAAGGGCGGCAAGTTCGCGGCGGACGAGTCGCTGGAGGCGCTCGTGGGCTTCGACTCCGACCTCGAGGGCTTCGACGTCATGACGCTGCCGCTCGCGCCGCCCGTGAAGAAGGTCGCCGCGGTCGCCGAGGAGGAGGAGGAGGCGGTCGACGAGGCGGCGGAGCTCCAGCAAACCCGCGACCTGCTGCGCCAGACCGTCGCCGAGGCCTTCGCCAAGAACAACGGCCGCGAGCCCACGGCCGAGGAGCTCCAGTCGCTCCACGACGTCATCGACGCGAAGCTCGGCGAGCGCGACGACGACGACGCGGCGCCGCTGACGGGCAAGGAGCAGCGCGCGAAGAAGCGCGCCGCGCGCGACCGCGCGGCGGCGGCCTTCGAGAAGGCCCAGGGCCGCGCGCCGACGGACGCCGAGGTCGACGAGCTCCTCGCCGTCGTCGCGCCGGGGTTCGCGGCGACGCCGCAGAAGCAGGCGCCGCCGTCCGAGGAGACGTCGCCCGTGTCCGTCGCGAGCGCCGTCGAGAGCGCCTAGGACGCGACCTAAGCCCCAAGAAGCGAGGCGGGCGGGTTCGTATCACCGCGCCTTACTCGTCGCGACCTGCTTCTCGAGCGCCTCGACGCGCGCCGCGAGGCGGTGGTAGTCGGCGAGGAGCTCGCGCACGGCCGCGGGCGGGAGCAGGTCCGGGTCCGCGCCGACGAACTTGAACGTCGGCTTCTTGGGCCGCCGCGGCGCGGCGGCGCGCGGCGGCGCGGGCGGTTTCCGGACCGCCGCGGACCGCGCGAGCCGCGCGGCCCGGACGTCGCGCGCGGACACGGGCGGGCCCGCGGCGACGGCGCGCTCCCGCGCGAGGGGCGCGGCGTCGTCGGCCGCGCCGGCCGCCGGCGCCGGCGCCGCGCGGTCGCGCGCGGCCCGGAGGAGCCGCGCCCACTCCGCCGCGTCGACGCCGTCGACCTGGCTCGCGTCGGCGGTCCGCAGGAACGTCACGGCCGAGAGGAACTGGGCCGCGACGTAGCCCGCGGCGCCCATGAGGAACCCCAGCGCGCGCGCCTCGAGGTACGCGACGTTCGACGCGAGGCGCGCCGGGTTCGCCGCCTTCACGGCCAAAATGATCGCCGGCAGCAGGTCGTCGGCGGCGACGTCGTCGTCGCTCTTGCCCAACGCCCGGCCGAGGGACCGCGACGCCGCCTCGAGCAGCTCCGCCTTCTCCCGCGGGCTCCGCGCGCCGTCCAAACTCCGGAAGAGGGCCAGCGCGTCCGCCCACGCGGCCGTCTCGTCGACCCGCGCGCCGTCGGGCCGCAGGCCCGACACCTCGAGGTGGCGCCAGTCCAGGAAGCTCAGCGCCCGCAGGCGCTCGGCGAGCTCGAGGTCCCTCGCGTCGTCGGGCGCGGCGACCGCGCCGTGCAATTTCCTATACAACAGCGCCTCGAGCGCTTCACCCGTGGCGCCGCGCTGCGCCTCGTCCTGGTCGCGCCAGGGCGCCTCGTCGTTCAGCGCCGCCGCGCAGCGCCGCACGAAGGACGCGATCCGCTCCGGCGCCGCGGCGTCGGACGGCGTCGCCGGCTCCTCGGCCGCGGCGGCCTCGTAGACCTTGGCGACGAAGCGCTGCATGCTCCGGACGACGTCGGCGCAGTCCGGGTGCTTGAGCAATTCGACGACGACGGCGACGCGCGCGGGCGTGCCCGCGCCGCTGTAGGCCCGGGCCGCCGCGGGCCGCAGCGCGACCCGGAGCTCGCGCTCGACGGTGTCGTCCTCGAGCGGTAGCAGCGGCGCGGTGGCCTCGTCCTCCGGCAGCAGCGTCGCCAGGAAGCGCACGACGCCCGACGCGCTCTCGAAGACCTCCTTCGTCGCGCCCTCGACGACCTCGAGCTCGCGCGACCGCCGCGACGTCTCGGACCCGGGCGCCGGCGCACCGAGGGCCTCGTCGAGCCAGGCCTGGCGCTGCCGCCGCGCGAGGGCCAAAAGCTCGAGGCGACGCTGCGGCGTCGCCGCGACGGCGGCCATCTTTTGCGACGTGTAGGGTGCGCGCGCGACGGCGCCGCCGGCGGCCACAGAGCTTGGTGCGCGAAAGTGCCTCGGAGCGGCACCGTTGCTTCAAGTCTCACGTTGCCGTGGGCTGCCATGATGGTTGCTGAGATTCTCGACGCCTGGGCCCGCGCCGCCGTGGACCAGTTGGGGCTCACCACAACATCGCAGCGCCTCCAGGCCTGGGCCGGCGACGCGGCGTCGCTCGCCCAGGGCCTCGTCGCGTCGTCGACGTCTCTCGGCGAAACCGTCAGCGAGGCCGTCGGCGACGCCGCGGCGTGGAACGAAATGATGAGAAGCGCGCTGGAGCGCTCGGCGGACGTCGCCGACGCGGCGATCGCTTGGGGCTGGTTCGCCGTGGTCGTTTTCTCTTTCCTGAAGCTGCCGCGGCGATTGTTCCTCGTCGCCGCTGGATTTTTGTGCTCGGGCGCGCCGGGCCTCGTCGCGCTGCTCCGCCTCGTCGCCGCGCTCGTGGCGCGCGCCGTCGCGGAGCCGGCGGGCACGGTCGCCGCGCTCGCCGTCTGGTCGTTCGCGTCGTCGAAGGTGTTCCAGATTTTGGGACGCGCCGCGGGCCTCGACGCGAACGCCGACGGCGCCGTCGACGGCTGGGATCTCCTCCACTTTCTCGCCGCGCGGCTCGGGCTGGTCGTCGTCGCGCCCGCGGTGGCGGTGGAGGAACCGGACCATTCGGACGACGTCGCGCGCCGCCTCGCGAAGCTCGAGCGCAAGATCGAGCTCCTCCTCCACGCGTCGAGCGCGCGGTCGCCGGCCGTCGTCCACGGCGCGGGGCGCGGGCCCCGGTCGCCGTCCCAGCCGCCGACGCCGACGTCCGACGCGTCGCCGCGGGCGGGGCTGCGGGCGGCCGCGTCCAAGCTCGTCGGCGCGGGGAGCCCGCGGCGGGGGTAAGTTGATGTTCTTCAAGTTTCCTGGAAGCTTAAGCAAGACGCGTCCTGCGGAGCTCGAGGCGGGCGCGTGGGCGGGCAGTCGCAGGACGCATGACGAGTCTTGCGCGGCTTCAACTTGCCAAAAATGTCGATGTTCACCAAACGTTGCTTCGCGACACTCTCTCGGCAACGACGTTGGCAATCGACCGAGAGCGGCGCCCGCGATATACACAGATCTCCAGCGAGTTACACACCACCGCCGACCCACATCAAGTCGCGCTGTTCACACCGCACGCGACCGCGCGAAAAACGACGCACGAGAACGCGAGATACGCCCTCGGAACGCCCCGACGCGAAAAAAGCCAAAAAAGATGGCCCTCCGCAAGGCGTGGCTCGAGCTCCCCGACGAGCCCGCCGTCGGCTGGCGCGTCGTCGACGTCGTCGCCGAGGACGGCGCCTTCGCCTCCGTCCGGGATGGGGCCTCGTCGACGCGCGTCGACCGCGCGCGGCTCAGCGACTACGACGCGACGTACGAGGACGAGGCGCTCTGCAGCGACGTGTCGCGGCTCGCGTCGCTCCACGCGGCGCCGCTCGTGTCGGCGCTCGCCCGGCGCTTCCGCGCGCGGACGACCTACACGAACGTGGGCGACGTGCTCATCGCCGTGAATCCGTGGCGCGACGTGCCGGACGCGCCCGGCGCGCCGCACGTGCGCGACGTCGCCACGGCGGCGCTCGAGGGCGCCGTCGAGCGGCGCGCGTCCCAGGCCATCGTCATCTCCGGCGAGTCCGGCGCGGGCAAGACCGTGTCCGCGACGCGGATCATCGAGTACCTCGTCGCGTCCGGCGGTTTGGGCCGGTCGCGGAAGCGCGAGTCCTTCGAGCGCCGCGAGAGGGCCAAGGAGAGCCTGCTCGCGCGCCTCGGCGCGTCCATCCCCTCCCTCGAGGCCCTGGGCAACGCGTCGACGGGCCTCAACGACAACAGCAGCCGCTTCGGCAAGCTCGTGAAACTCTCCTACGACGGCCGCGGCGGCGAGCGCGACGTCGTCGGCGCGTCCATCGAGGAGTTCCTGCTGGAGAAGGCGCGCGTGTCGCGCCGGTCCCGGTCCTGCGCCCAGGAGCGCAACTACCACTTCCTCTGCCAGCTCGCGGGCAAGTCCGGGAAAAAACGCGCGTACGCCACGAACGCGAAAAGCGACGACGGCGCGAAGCTCGCGACGACCGAGCGAGCCTTTGCCGCGCTCGGCCTCGACGACGACGTCACGGCCTTCGCCGAGGCCGTGGGCGAGGCCGTGCTCTGCCTCGGCGACGGCGACGCGGCCGCGGCGGCCGCCGCGCTCGGCGTCGACGCCGCGGCGCTGGCCGTCGCGCTCAAGGAGCGGCGCTGCGCGGGCGCGGGCACGGACGCGACGGTGTCCGTGACCTACGAGCCCACGGAGCAGCTCCGCGTCGTCGACGCGCTGGCCAAAGCTCTGTACGCCGCGCTCTTCGGCAGTTTCGTCGCCGCGGCGAACGCGGCGCTCGCGGCGCCGCTCGAGGAGGTCCGCGGGTCCGTCGCGAGCCCGCTCGGCGAGCGGTCGCCCAACGGCGGCTCCACGCCCCGGAAGGCGGGGCCCCGCGAGGCCTTCGTGGGCATCCTCGACATCTACGGCTTCGAGATCTTCGCCGTCAACGGCCTCGACCAGCTCCTCATCAACTACGCCAACGAGGTGCTCCAGCGGTCCTTCGACGACTGCCTCTTGAAGGCGGAGGCGAAGCGCTACGACGACGACGCCGTGCCCTGGGACGCCGTGGACCTCGCGCGGTGCCTCGGGAGCACCAAGGTCGTCGACCTCGTCGCGGCGCCGCCGCGGGGCCTGCTCCCGCTCCTCGACGAGCAGGTGAAGCTGGGCGTGCGCGGCGCCGACGCGGCCTTCCTCACGCAGGCGGACAAGGCCCACAAGGACTGCGACGTCTACGGCAAGCCGCGCTTCGACCGCGACAAGCAGGGCGGGAAAAGAGTGCGACATGCCCACCTTCAAAGGCTCCTATCTCGGCCGTTTCCCACTCGTTTCGGCTGATTTTTGGACGAGCGATCATCTCTCGGAACGGTCTCGAAGCGTGGATGCCTTTTTCGGAGCGCGCGCGCGCGGAACACTCACGTTGAAGCGAACTTGAATCACTCTTTTCCCGCCCAGGCGACAAGTTCACGGTGACGCACTACGCGGGCGCCGTGACCTACGACCCCGCGGGGTTCCTCCTGTCCAACTCGGACCCGCTGCCCGTGGACGTCGCGGCCGTGCTGGCGACGTCGTCGAAGCCGCGCGTCGCGGCGCTCCTCGCGCCGGAGCCGGGCGCGCGGAGTGGCGCGAAGTCGCTCCCGCAGCTCCGCGAGTCGACGTCGCGCGTCTTCCGGGGCCAGATGAAGTCCCTGGAGAAGACGCTCGCGGCCTGCGCGGCGCCGGCGCACTACGTGCGCTGCGTGCGGCCCAACGCGGCCAAGTCGCCGGACGACTTCGACGCGCGGCTCGTGCTCGGGCAGGGCAGCAAAAGAGAGCGAAATTCCCAACTTCAAAGGCTCATATCTCGGCCGTTTTCCACTCGTTTCGGCTGATTTTTGGACGAGCGATCATCTCTCGGAACGGTCTCGAAGCGTAGATGCTTTTTCTGGAACGCGCGCGCGCGGAACACTCACGTTGAAGCGACGTTGAATCATCCTTTTGCTGCCCAGGTGCTCGGGCAGTTGACGGCCGCGGGCGTCATGGACCTCGTGAAGCTCCGGGGCCAGGGCTTCCCGGAGCGCGTCGACGCCGCGGCCTTCGTCGCCGAGTTCGGCCGCGGGTTGGACGGCGACGCGGACGCCGCCTTCGCGGCGGCGCTCGCGGCGCGCGCGCCCGCGGCAGCCGCCTCCTACGCGGCGGCGAAGCGCGCCGAGGCCGCGGCGCTCGACGCGCTCGACGGCGACGCGGCCCCGGACGCGCCGCCGCCGCCGCCGCCGCCGCCCCTCGAGCTCGACGGCGCCGAGGCCCCGACGGTCGCCGCGGCGCTCGCGTCGGCGCGCCTCGGGCCCGGCGCGACGCCGGAGCAGCCGAAGCACGCGTGGTGCGTCGGCGCCACGTCGGGCATGGTCTACCTCAAGAAGGGCACGCTCGCGTCCCTCCGGGCGGACATGCGCGACGCCGACGCCCGCGCGGCCCGGCGCTGGGCCGACGCCGTCGCCGCCGCGAAGCGCCGCGCCGAGGACCGGCGTTTGAAGGCGCTCGCGGACGCGGAGGCCGCGAAACGGGCCGAGGCGGCGGCGGCCGCGAAGCGCGCCGCGGACCTCGCGGCCGCGCGCGCCGCGGAGGAGCGGCGCCTCGCCGACGCGCGGGCGGCGAAGCTCCGGGCGGCGCGCGACCTCGAGCGGGCCAGGGCCGACGCGGCCGCCGCGCTCGCGGCCAAGGCCGTGGCGGCCGCCAAGGCCGACGCGGCGCGCGCGCTCGTCGGCCGGCGCCTCGCCGCCGTCTACCGGGGCGCCAAGGTGCGGCGCAACGTCGCGCGCGCGGCGCTCGCGGCCGCGCTCGCGCGCAACGCCGCGGTCATCGCGGACGCGCGCGCGACGTCCGAGGCCGTCCGCGACGAGATGCGGACGATCGTCGGCTGGGCGTCCAAGCCCCACGCCACGGTCGCCGCGCTGGACGTGGCCCTGGGCCAGGCCTACCTGCGGGCCGTCGCCGTGTCCGCGACGACGAAGACCTTGCTCGACTGCGAGTCGCGCGCCGCGGTGTTGGAGGCCGCGCGGCAGACGGACGCCGCCACCTCCGGCTTCACGGGCGCGCTCGACGCCTTCCGCGGCGAGGTCTACGACGTCATCGACAAGTCGGCGAAAATCGCGACGCTCGTCGCCGCCGAGTTCCACCGGCAGAAGCACGCGCGCGCCTTCCGCGCGTGCGCGGCGCGGTCGCGGCCCTTCGCGGACTTCCTCGAGACGAACGAGCTCCTCGTCGTCGCCAAGGCCGTGCGCCTCCGGAAGAAGGGCCTCTTCTCGACGACGGAGGTCGACGCGACGGCCGTCGTCTCGTCCCGCGGCGCCGTGCGCGTCGTCGTCATGCGCGCCGTCGTCGGCGACTGCGACCGCGCGGGCCACGCGATGGCCGTGTCCGCGGCGCCGCCGGCCGGCGGCTGCTGCGCGGCGGGCGGCCACGTCCTCGCGGGCGACCCGGGCGACGCGCCCTGCCTCGTCGCCGTCGACCGCCTCGACGGCGCGAAGCGGCCCAAGCCGCTGCGCTTCGTCGACGACGCGGAGGGCGCGACGCGCGTCTGGCGCGGCGTCGCGGGCGCCGTCGGGGCCGCCGACTTCCGCTGCCTCGCGCCCCTCGCGATCCTCGCCCTCGCGCGCGAGTGAAGGCCGCCGCCAAGCGAAGGCGGCCTTCCCCGATCAAAAACGCGGCGCCGCGCCACAAGGGCGCGGCTCCTAGCCGCGTAATGCCTGCACCACGCGTGTTAGACCATGGACTTGGCCGTGCCGACGGGCGCGGACGCGTCGACCTCCGTGACGGCGACGACCTCGGCGAGTTCGACGCCGCCGACCTCCGTCGCCTCGGCCGTGATTGGTCCATCGCTTTTTTGTCGTAGCCGGTACGCGATGCCGGTGCCGCCGGCGACGCCGCCGAGGAGCAGCGCGGCGACGACGACGAACGCGACGGTCGCGCCCGCGTCCGACGCGTCGTCGTCGTCGCCGCCGCCGTCGGCCTCGGCCTCGTCCGGATATTCGCCCTCGGCCTCGTCCTCGTCCTCCGCGTCCGCGGCCGTCGGGCGCGCGGTCGTCGGCGCGCGCGACGGCGCGGCCGTCGTCGGCGCGCCGCTCGGCGCGGGCACGTCGTAGGAGAAATCCACGTCGACCCAGTATTGCGCGTCCGTCGCGTCGTACCAGCGCTCCACGACGCCCCTGTCCGGCCAGTGGAAGGCGGACGCGCGGAAGACGAGCTCGTCCTCGTTCCAGACGAGATAGTCCGGGTCCCAGTCGTAGCACGTCAGCGACACCGTCGAGCCGATGGCCTGGCAGCCGAAGAGGAAGAACTCCTCGAACGTCGGCTGCTCCGTCTCGAGCACGACGGCGCTCACCTGCGTCTGGTTCGCGACGCTGAGGAAGCAGTAGGCGTCGCTATCGGAGAAGGCGTCCTCGTCGCGGATGTTGCCACCGTAGAGGTCGATGCGCAAATCCACGTAGTTGAAGCGCGCGCAGAGCGAGCTCGACGCGACGCGCCACCAGAGGGCGGCAAGCAGCAGCCGCATCGTCGACAGCGCGGAAGGCCTCGGAAGCAGCCCGATGTGTATGGGAAAGAAGCCGTAGTTTACTTTGGAGAGCCTCTCAACGAACCTGACAGCCCAGCGCCGAGCATCACAATGGTGGCCCTCGGCCTCGGCCGGCGGCGCCGCGTCGCCGCCGCGGAGCGGCGCGAGGGGAAGAAGAACGCCTTCCACCACGAGCGGCGCGGCCCGCGCAAGAAGGTGTCGAAGCGCGTCGTGCCCGTCGTTCCGCCCAAGGTGGCCATGAAGGACCGCATCAAGGTCTTCACGGACGAGGAGCTGGCGAAGCTCGCCCCGAAGAACAGCAAGCCGCTCCAGGCCCGCGCGGCGGCGACGGTCATCACGCGGCGCTGGAACGACGGCTCGAAGACGAGCGACGACCACGTGTCGCGCGGCGCGATCGCGCGGCTCGCTTCCGGGCACGCGCCGTGCCGCAAGGACCTGCCGTCGCAGTGGGCGCCGACGAGCCGGCGCCTCGTCGACCACGCGAGGTACCAGGCGCGGCGCCACCAGCTGCGGCGCGAGCTCCAGGCGTCCCAGTCCGCGGGCGAGCTGCCCGCGGAGCCCGTCGCGAGGAGGCACAGGAAGCCGAGCCACCGCGCGATCATGGGCGTCGACGACTTCGACCCCGGGGCCATGCCCTTGGACGACCGCAGCACCCAGTCCCACCTCATGGCCTCCAAGGCGTCGCGCCAGCTCCACGCGCACCTGCGGTCCGGGCGCGCGGCGAGGGGCATGCCGACGGGCAAGCCCGTGCTGTCGCACGTCGACGCGCCGCCGTCGGGCCACTACGCCACGGCCATGGCGCGCCTCGAGGCCCGGGTCGCGGCGCGCCTCGAGGTCGTCGACGAGGCCATCTACAGCCCCGAGAACGCCGCGGCGGCCATGGACAAAGTCGACGGCCGCCGGAAGAAGAAGAAGAAGAAGAAGCCCATCGGCACGCTCCCCCCGGAGACCAAAACACACAAGCCCCGGCGGCGGCCTAAGAAGCCCTAGCTAGAAGACGAAGTGGGGCGCGCCGTCGTCGCCGAAGACGCGGCGGACGGCCTCCTCGAGGTCGCCGAAGGCCGCCGCGTCCGCGAGTTGCCGCGCGGCCGCGTGGCTCGCCGCGTCGTCGGGCGGGTCGTCGCGGAGCTCCGCCAAAGCCCAGCCCGCGGCGTTCGCCGTCGCCGCGGCTTTGGCGAGCGCGACGTCGTGGAAGCGCCGCGCGTCCATCGCCGCGACGCGGAACCGCGCGGTCCGCGTCCGCAGCAGCGGCCGCCGCTGCCGCTTCAGCCGGCACGTCAGAAACACGGCCGCGTCGCCGCGCACGACGGCCCAGCGCTCGCGCACGGGGCCCAACGCCCGGTCCGCGCCCGCGACGGCGTCCGCCGCGGCCCAGACCTCGGGCCCCGTGGCGACGTCGTACCGCCCCGAGTCCGCGGCCGGCGGCGGCGGTGGCGCCGCGGGCGCCTCGCCGCCGTCCGCGGAGCTGTCGTCGTCGTCGTCCTCCTCCTCGAGGGGCGACGCCGGCGGCGACAGCGACGACGGCCGGAAGAGCGAGCTGCCGTCGTCGGCCGCCTCGAAGGCCCACGTCAGCTTCCGGCTCCTCGACTGCCACTGGAGCACGACGACCTGGAAAGGAAATATGTTTTGCACGCATGTTTTTGCACGATGTTGACATAGCGTCTCTAATATCTAAAAGGAACTTGCCGAGAGACAACGATCCATCCAAAAATCAGCCGAAACGACTTCGATGTGACCGAGCTCGAGAGGTTTGAAGTTTTTGCTGGACAGGGCCATTCCACTGGTTGTTTCCGGCACAGACGACGACGTGGTCGTCGGGCCCGTCCCGGAGGCGCACCTCGCAGTCCATGCCCCGCGCGCGCGACGCGCCCGTGGACACCCACGCGCCCACGCCGTCGATCTCGACGGACCGCCACGGCGCGGCGGCCGCGTCGAGCGCCGCGGCCGCGGCCGTCTTCGCGCCGAAGCGCCGCAGCGCCGCGAGCGCGCGCGGTGACGGCCACGCCGCCGGCGGCGGCGCGTCGCCCGACGCCGTGCGCGACCGGGCCGTGCGCGCGGACCGCACGGACGCGGGGCCCCGGTCCGCGACGCGCGACGGCCCCGTCGCCGTCGACGCGGCCTCGTCGTCCACCTCGGGCGCCTCCGCGGCCGCGGCGGCGGGCGCGGCCGCGTCGCGGAGGCGCTCGACGGCGTGGCGCGCGTGGCGCAGCTGGAACGCGACGCCCGCGGCCTCGAGCGCGGTTAACGCGTCCGCGGCGCGCGCCGCGGACGGAGCGTCGAGGAGCAGCGCGCCGCTTTCGTAGTGGAGCACGGCGCCCTGGGCGGACCGGAGCGGGGGCGCCGCCTCGACGCACAGACACCGCAGCGCGAAGCCGAGGACGGACCGGTTCAGCAGCTCCAGCAAGACGAGGCGCCCGCGGCCCCAGCCGATTGTTTCGAGCCAGGGCGCGACGGCCGCGTCTTTCGCTTTCGCGCAGGCGACGAGCACGGCGTCCTGGGCCTCGCGCCGCTCCTCGAGGCGCGCGCACGCGCGCGCGGCATCCAGCAGAAAGGGGCCGAAGCCCCCGTCGGACCGCGCGACGCGGTGCCGGAGCGCGGCCTCGACGGCCTCGACGAGCCGAAGCGCCGCGCCGTCGCCGTTGCGGTACGCGGCGCCGCGGTGCGCGCGCCGCGCGGCGTCCGCCGCGGCCTCCAGGGCCTCGAGCAGGCGGCGCCGCTCGTCGTCGACGCGGCGGTTCGCCGACTCGGCCGCGGCCGCGGCCGCCGCCTCCCCGGGCGCCGTGACGGGCTCGCCGTCGAACGCGAGCGCGCTGCGGCGCCGGAGGCTCGCGAGGGCCTCGGCGAGCGCGCGCGAGCCTACAAAAGGTTGCGGGTCGTTGCGATTCATAGGTCGCGGGGCGCTCGAAAGAGAGGTGTGTGTTTCGGGGGCATTCCGCGCCGGCGGTCGCCCGCGGCGCGCGCGCGCGCGACGTCGACGGCGCGCAGGTCCTTGGCCACGTCGAGCTTCACGCTCAGCCGCCGCGCCTCGACCTCGGACTGCTGGGCCCGCTCCTTGACGCGGCAGAGCTCGCCGAAGAGGTAGTTGTTCCCGCCGGCCTCGGGGGCGCGCTCGGCCTGGGCCTGGAGCTTGTCGAGCTCGGCCTGGCGCTCCGCGGCGAGCGCCTCGGCGGCCGCGAGGTTCCTGGACAGCGTCTCGTGGTCGCGCAGCAGCTCCCGCGTGTACTTCTTGAGCTCCTTGGCCTTGGCCGCGTCCATGGGGCTCCCCTTTCCCTTCTCTTCACGCGGTCATCATCATTCGCAGCGCTCCTTCACCTTCATCATCGGCGCGCGGCGCCGACCTGTCGAGCTGGCAAAGCTCTCCCTAGGCCCTGCTCGTCGTCGTCGTCGCCCGCCGCGCGCCGTCCGCCGCGCGCGCCGTACGCAGCGCCGTCGCCGGCACCGGTCGCAGCATGTCCGTCATCAGCGACCCGGGCCGCGACTCGCGCCTCACCTGGAGCAAGCACGCCGAGTACGAGGCGCGCAAGGAGCTCAGCGCCATCGCGACGAAGAAGTGCGACGCGCACCTCGCGGCCTTCAGCCGCTGCGCCCAGGAGCAGAACCTCATGGTCGTCTTCAACTGCCGCGAGGAGAACCGGAAGATGAACGCGTGCCTGAGCCAGTACACGAACGAGGCCGCGTTCGAGGAGTACAAGCTCCGGCGGAGCATCGAGCTCGCGAAGCAGGGCAAGAAGGGCGGCGCGTGACGCGCCCTAACGCTTTTGGTGCGTCGTCTATGATGTGGGTCGCGCGCGCGGCCCGGAGCGACGGCGCGGGCGCCCGGAGCGTCCGGTTCGATCTCCGGGCGCGGGCGCCCGGAGCGTCCGGGTGAGAGCGTCCGGTGGAGTCCAGTGCGTCGCCCGGGAGCGTCGGGTTACGGTCGCGGGCGCGTGTGTCGGCGCGGGGCGGGGAGCGAAGCGGCGGAGCGGGGCGGCCCCCTAGGCCTTGTAGGAGAGCATGCGGCCCGGGTTGAAGCCGCCGCCGCGGTCCGTGGACAGCGTGTTCGGGTTCTTCATGTCGTTGGCGGCGTCGCCGTCCTCGCCCTCCGTCGCCGGGCCGAACTCGGCGAGCTCCGCGCGGAGCCACGTCGTCGCGATCTTGAGGAGCGGCGACGGGTGGCCCTCCTTGCGGAGTTTCGTGTAGAGGTCCAAATCCTTCATCTCGCCCTGCCAGCCCGTCTTGCCGAAGCGGTTCAGGTAGTGGATGTGCGTCGGCCAGTCGTCCAACCCGTCGAAGATGTGCGTCGCGTAGAGCACCGTCGCGCCCCGCACCTCGCACTCCTTCTGGAGCCACAGGAGCAGATCCTGGCGGACGATGACGTCGAGGCACGTCGTCACCTCGTCCAACAGCAGGATGTCGAAGGCCGCACGAGCCCGAGCAGGAGCTGCACGCGCCGCCGCTGGCCGTCGGACACGCGGTGCATGCGCCACTCCGGGTCCACGCCCAGGATCTTCACGAGCTCGTCGCGGCGCTCGGGGTGCGCGTCCTGCAGTTTCCGCATCATGCCGCCGACCCTAATGTCGGCCTGGAGCGGGCAGCCGTAGCCGGCGAAGGCCACCGTGCGCATGCCCCACTGCGTGTCGAGGAACGCGCGCGTGAGGTTGAGCTTGAGGTCGCGGAACGGGTCCGTGCCCATGACCTTCACGTTGTCGCCGCTCACGAGGTGCTTGCCCGCGAGCAGCTTCAGCAGCGTCGACTTGCCGCTGCCGTTGGCGCCGAGGAGGAGGCACCGGCTCCCGGGCTTGAGCTGCATGGAGAAGCCGTTGAGCACCATGCGCGCCTCGTCCGTCGGCAGCGACTGCGGGTAGGCGAAGTCGAGGCGGTCGATCTCGACGGCGTACTCGGCCTGGCCGATCATCGTCGGGTTGCTCGGGTTACCCACGACCATCTTCGTCGGCTTGCACATCGGTACTCGAGTGCGCGGGTAGTGCGGGTAGGAGGTCGAGTTTTGCGGCGCGTCGTACGAGGCTGCTGCAGGTATGACGCTGCCGCCAGCACAGAGCTGCCCCCGCCGCAGCAACCTTGACCGCAACGCTCGACGCTGCCCCTCCCGCACCGATGGCAGCACTTTCTTCTCTCGAGGACGTGCCCCCGACCTTCACGCCGGCGCTCCAGCGCGCGGCGGTCTCCGCGTCGGCGACCCTCGAGTACGTCGCGCGCAACGCGCTGGCGTCGGTCTACGCCGTGCGGCTGCCCCCGGGCTGCGTCGGCGTCGACCTCAAGTTCCGCAACGAGACGCGCCCCGCCGGGCGCGTCGAGGTCGCCATGGTGCGCGGCGGCCCCGCGGCCGCGGGCGTGCGCGTCGGCGACGTCGTGCTCGCCTTCGGCGGCGCGCCGCTGCCCAAGGGCGCGTCCGCGGTCGAGCTCGAGGACGTCGTCTCGGAGCGCGACGACGCGCGCGAGGCCGTGCCCGCGGTGCTCGTCGCCTGGCGCAACGAGGGCCGGTTCGCCCTCGGCGCGGAGAGCGACGCGGCGGCGGCCTGGCGCGGCGACGACGTCGTCGCGGAGTTCCCCGCCGGCGGCGGCGGCGGGGGATGCCGCGCGTCGCTCGCGCGCTGGGCCGCGACGGGCGGCGCGGGGCCCGGCGGCGCGCCCCTCGTCGTCCTCGCGCGGCCGCTGCGGGCCCTCGAGGCGGGCCTCGTGCTCGTCGCCGTCAACCACGAGCCCCTGCCCGACGGGCTGCCCGTCGCCGAGCTCGCGGCGCGGCTCGGCCACTACGAGCGCGTCGGCCCCGTGACGCTCACGCTGCGGCGCCTGGGGAGCCGCAAGACGCGCGCGGCGCTGCTCCGCCACGTCGGCGCGGACGCGGGGCGGAGGCACGCGGACTCGCCGCGCGCGCCGCCGTGGTGGCTCGGGTTCCTGTCGTCCTGCGACCTGACCTGGTGCGCGTAAGCTTCTGCCGTTGGTTTTCTTTTCTAGTGCCCTCCCATATGTCTCTTTGGTAGGGACAAATTCGCCATTACACAATTAAAGTTTAGCCTTGCAATATTTTGTTGAAGAAATGTTGAAGAACAATCCCGCCGGGGTATTTGCTCTGAGTTTGTCCCCTGTTGAAGCGGCACAGTGCAGCAAAAGCCGTCGTTGCATGGGCTTTTTCTTCGCGGCGCTCGCGATGGCGTCTGAGCGTTATGCGCCGGGATCGGCAGTGGGGAAGGTGTCTCGCTACCTCCGCAAACACCTTCGTTCGCTCGTCGACCCACCATGACGCGGATCCAGCCAATGTCCGGAGGCAGCGACCGTCCGGAAGCCGTCGAACCCGACGTCGGTCGGCTCGAGGTCCCGAGGGGCAGCCCGGGGCGCCTGGGGTGGGGCCTCACCTCAGGACATGGTCTGGACCCGACCCTATCATGGTATGGAACGGATCGAGACCATGTCCGGCGGCTGGGGCAGCCCCAGACACCCCACGGCCACCGTCGGGACGAAACGCCGCCGGAGCTCGGCCCGGTGGACTCGACGATTTCGGGCTCCCCCGACGAACCCGCCGCCTTGGACGCGACGGGGTCGATGACGAACGATCTCCGCTGCTGCGATGGCTCGAAAACTATCTTAGAGAGGTCGCGAGGGGGCAGCGCGTCCCTTCCCACCCACTCTACCTCCCCGTTCCAGTCGCCACGCGGTCGTATGAGCGTCGCGTCTTCGCATGTGCCTCACCCTCGTCCTTGCGGCCCTCGCAGCTGCTGGGATCGTTGCACAATTCTGCATATTCGCGGAGCGGCGGGCCCTCAAAGACGGCCATCCCATCGCAGCGCGCCGCCAAAACGCTGCACAATGTCGATCATGAAGCACGGAGGACATTCGATCGACTTTACCCCGGCGGGAATCGCAGCCCGGAGTCTGGCTGAGACGATCGCCCGCGGTGTCTCATCGACACCGCGCTTCCGATGTCCATGTCGCTGCTGGGTCGTGCGCTTCTCGTTCTCGCCGTCTCGCTTAGAGGCGATGCGGGTGTTACTGTGAACACGACGGCTGGCCCGGGGTTGGCACTTGGTTCGGCCATGAACTCCCATGTAAATGTTACCGGTTCTGCTGGTTGTTCTCCGTCGACCCCGGACGCTGATAAGGTCGACTGCATGGGTCCGCCCGGCGCAGACCGGGACACGTGCCTCAGCAACGGCTGCTGCTTCGACCAGGCTGGTACCGCGGCCGAACCGCGAAGATTGCCGGATGGCAGCGACGTCCCCTGGTGCTTCAGAGATCCGAGTGCGTGCAAGAAAAAAGGGGAGCTATGCGCCCCCTGGGATGATGTCAAATGTTGCAGCGGCCTCAGTTGCGAACGTGACAGGCCAACGCATTATGTGTGCATGGCACTTGGTTCGGAAATGAACTCCCATGTAAATGTTACCGGTTCTGCTGGTTGTTCTCCGTCGACCCCGGACGCTGATAAGGTCGACTGCATGGGTCCGCCCGGCGCAGACCGGGACACGTGCCTCAGCAACGCGAACTGCTGCTTCGACCAGGCTGGCACCGCGGCCGAACCGCGAAGATTGCCGGACGGCAGCGACGTCCCCTGGTGCTTCAGAGATCCGAGTCAGTGCGGGAAAGAAGGCGCTTCGTGCGAAGGGGGGCGGGTCACATGTTGCAGCGGCCTCAGGTGCGAAAATCGCGCAGCAAGTTGGAACTTTTGCTATCCCATCGGGTAGCGTGGCGGAAAACCTTTAGCACCGGTGCTACCAAGTGGTATTTTGTCGCAGTCTAGGACCATTAATGCTTCGTGGTCAACCGACCTTTCTTATCAAAATTTCGCGGCTGGGAGGCGCGGCGATCGGGCGTCCCCGGCTACGGCAACTTGATGTTCAAGTACCAGTGGCTTGAAGCAAACAGAAGGCGATGTTCGAGCATCGAGGCTTTCGGCGCTGACGGAGCGTGAGGCTTCGGCATGCCGCTCCGTTTCACGATGCTTCTCGTCCTGACCAAGGCCTTCCTGCGGTCTCCCGCGCCGCGCGCGACGCGCCGCGTCGTCGCCCGCGCCGCCACCAACGGCGGCGAGTGGGCCCTGCCCAGCGGCTGGCGCGCGGCGCTGGGCGACGAGCTCGCGAGCGACCGCTTCCGGGACCTCCAGGCCTTCGTCGCCGCGGAGCGCGCCTCCCAAACCGTCTACCCGCCGCCGGACGAGACGCTCCGCGCGCTGCGATCCGTCGACCTCGACGGCGTCCGCGTCTGCGTCGTGGGGCAGGACCCGTACCACGGCCCCGGCCAGGCCAACGGCCTCGCCTTCAGCGTCTCCGGCGGCTGCGCCATCCCCCCGTCCCTCCGCAACGTGCTGCGCGAGTGCGCCGAGGACCACGGCGCCGCGCCGGCCGGCGGCGACCTCGGAGGCTGGGCGGACCAGGGCGTGCTCCTGCTCAACACCGCGCTGACGGTGCGCGAGGGCGAGGCGCACAGCCACCGCGGCCGCGGCTGGGAGCGCCTGACGGACGCCGTCGTGGCCGCGCTCGCCGCGCGGGAGCGACCGGTCGTCTTCGCGCTCTGGGGCAACCCCGCGAGGAAGAAAGCGGCCATCGTCGACGGCGCGCGGCACCGCGTCGTCGCGTCGAGCCACCCGTCGCCCCTGTCCTGCGCGAAGACGGCGGCGCCCTTCCGGGGGAGCCGGTGCTTCTCGCGCATCAACGCGCACCTCGAGGACCTCGGCGTCGAGCAAATCGACTGGGCGAGGGACGCCGGCGACGCCGCGGCCGCCGCGCGCGAGGCGCCGCGATCCGCGCCGCTCGCCGAGGCCGTCGCGCGCGAGACGCCGCGATCCGCGCCGCTCGCCGCGGCCGCGCACGATGAGGCGCCGCGATCCGCGCCGCTCGCCGCCGCCGCGCACGACGACGACGGCCTGCTCGACGCCGTGTTCCTCGACGCGGACGAACCGGACGACGACCGGGGCGCGGGCCCGCTCTGCGGGTGGCGGACCTTCGACGACCAGCTCGCGGCGCTCGAGGCCTTCCGGCGCAAGGGCGGCGCGCCCGTGGACCTCTACGGCTGCCAGACGCTCGGCGACCGCAGCGCGCCGCCGCACGTGTTTAGGTTCCAGACGCTCGTCGCGCTCATCCTCTCCGCGCGGACGACGGACGAGGCGACGATGAGCTGCGTCCGCGACCTCCAGTGGGCCGACGGGGGGCTCACGGCGGACACGCTCGCGGCCGCCGACGCGTCGACCCTCGAGCGCGCGCTCGCGAACCACGAGGTCGCGTTCCCCCGGAACAAGGCCCGCTACCTCCGCCGCGCCGCGGAGCTCTGTCGGGATTCTTACGGCGGCGACGTGCCCCGGGACCTGCCGAGCATCCGCGCGCTGCCGGGCGTCGGCGACAAGGTCGCGGCGCTGCTCACGCAGGCGGCGTGGGGCGACGACGCGGGCGGCGTCGCGGTGGACACGCACTTCCACCGCATCGCGAACCGGCTCGGCTGGGTCGCCACGGCGACGGCGGCGGCGACGAAGCGGGACGTCGAGGCCTTCCTGCCCCGGGACCGGTGGGTCGCCGCGAACCCTTTGCTCGTCGGCTTCGGCCAGGAGGTGTGCGGCTACGCGCCGAATTGCGAATCTTGCCCCGTGGCGGCCTGCCCGCGCGTCGGCGTCGACGCGCGGCCGCCGCCGCCGGGCGACGCGCTCGTCGACGCGGACCACGTCGAGCTCCTCCTGGACCGCGCGCACCGCGACTTCGACGACGTCGTCGCGTCCTGCGCGTCCGTCGGGCGCCACGCGGGCGACCGCAACGCCTACGTCGTCCTCCGGTCCAAGTTCGACCGCGACGAGCCGGACCAGCCCCTCGCGCGCATCACGTCCAACTCCTTCGGCGCCGTCGGCGTCGTCCTCGAGAACCTCCGCGGCCGGCGCATCAAGTGCTACGCGCGGCGCGCGGCGGACCAGGTGCCCTTCTAAGGCTGCTAACATATCCCGCCGGCGGGATATGTTAAAGGCCGCTTCAACTTGGACTTCAACCTCAAACCTTGCACTTCAACAGGGACCTCAACACCGCCGCTTGCCCTTCAAAAGGGACCTCAACACCGCCGCTCACGCCTCATCGGGGACCTCTGACGCGCCGCCCACGCCTTAGGGGGCGCGACCCGCCCCATGCCATGTGCCAGAAGCTTTCCAGAAGCCCTCCAGGAGCCCTCCAGAGCCCTTCCGCGGACCCGAAATACCCCAAACCCCTTACGATTTTGCGATTTTGATTCCCCCCCACTGCCTCGCCTTGGTAAACTGCCCTTCAAGTTTCTTTAAGGGCATTTGAACTGCAACGCCGCCCCAAACCACGTGCCAGAAGCCCTCCAGAAGCTTCCCAGAAACCTTCTAGAACCCTTCCGCGGAGCCAAAATACCCCACCGAAAACCTCTACGAAAGGTATGATTATTTTGAAAAGTCCGTGCTGTCTTTTTCTAAAAAATGTAAGGATAATATGCTCTAACGTATGTAAGGATAATATGCTCTAACAATTTGATTATTCTTTAAAAAATGGAACGATTTGTAATCTCTTTTTATTGCTTTCAGCATTACTTCTTCGTCGTCTTTTAATAATTCTGATAGGTGAGATATGATATCACGATTAAAGCTTTGAGAATCAATTGCAGCTATAGCAACTTCTCGATCATTTTTTAAACGAGAACTTACTTATACTAAGTATGTTTCATCATATTCAAGGCTGCGGCGGAGCCACTGCCGTCTACGATTCCAACCAGAGCTCTTTGTAATATTTTCACGGTCAGCTTCCGGCCAAGGAGGCGACACATTGTTCCTAGCGGTATTTGAACAGAGAAAAACGGCAAAGAAATCAAAATTTCGGCGCCGCGCGCCGCCGCCGCCGCCGCCGTGGCCGGTGCCGCCGTGGCCGCCGCCGGTGCCGCCGTGGCCGCCGCCGCCGCCGTTCCCCGTCCCGCCGCCGCCGCCGGCGCCGCCCCGGGGCGGCGCGGCGCGGCCGTCGAGGACCGCGAAGCCCGCCGGGAGCCGGAGGTGCACGAAGCGGCGCCGGAGCCCGCCGCCCGCGTCGGGCGCGGGCCGCGGCGCGACGGCGAGGCGCGCGCGCGCCGCGGGCCGCGGCGCGTCGTCGGGCTCCTGCTTGAGCTCGAAGGGCATGGTCAGCGCCTCGTCGCTCTGGGACCAGGGCTCGTAGCTCTGCGTCGCCGCCTCCTCGGCGGGCAGCGCCGCCGCGTCGCCGCCGGCGCCGAGGTACTTGCCCGCGGCGTCGCGGAAGCCCGCGTCGTCGCCGAGGTCGCGGCGCGCGACGGCGACGCCCAGGAGCGCGTCGCAGAGGAGCGCGCGGAGCGCGCCGCCGTCGTCGCCGCCGCCGGCCGCCTCGAGCGTCTTCGCGACCTCCGCGACGGCCGCCTCGTAGCACCGCGCGGCGTCGCCGGGCCGCGGCGGGTCCGCGCGCGCCGCGCAGTCGCCGGCGCAGGTCAGCGCCGCGGCGCAGAG